TATTTTTAATGAAACAGTATTTAGGGGAAGGCAATTCTGTTTTATTTTATGAAATAGAATTACATCTATATTGCAGTGTTTTATGTTTGTATTGCATATTATTAGATGTTAGGGGTAACTGATTTGTAAACACACAGTGCAATAATACTTAAGATCTCTAGAAATAGAGAATGGAATTCAAATCCCCACTGAGTTCCCCCCAATAAGTGGTTAAAGGGCCAAACTAAATTGTAAAGATGTAAAGAATTATGAAGATATAAAGAATATCAGTTAATTGAGGGGTTGCATCGTTTAATCTTAGCCTATGCTGCCAACTCACAGATCATAACTGACTGGAAGGCAGAGGTGAAATCACTAGGAAGAAGGCTTAAAAGTAGACGGTCTGAGAGATGAGGAGGGAAGGGAGCTGTTCTGTACAACTCTGGAAAAGAGCTGCAAGGCAAAGTAAGAGCTCTCTAATGCAGTGTGACAAGGAGTGTTAGGCAGAGCACCAGGCTGAGAAGAGCTCTCTTGTTGGCAGTAGACAGGAAATGGTAAGGTCAGAAAGTTCTGCTTACAGTGATTTTCCTACAGGGAACACATGAGTGCTGCCAAAGGTTCTATAATTCCATATTGTAGGTAAATGAGGTAAGAGGAAGTAGATAGGAGATAAATGCAGAGTAAACCAGTCAGCCAAGAGGTGAGTTAGGTGTGCGATGGGGGAATGGAAAATGTACAGTAGAAGATGCCTTACAGAAGGTCAGAAACCTGGAGTAGGAAGAAAAGAATGAGGAAGAAGGTCAGATCTTTTTGAATTGTAGACTTTAGAATATATTATTTGTAATTTTCCTTTGAAATACTAGCTATAGTTTATATTTCTTTTGTTCTGTTTCTCTTTCACATTTTAATGTATATTTGCTATGTGTTTAAGGAGGTTTATCCTTTAAAGTTTCAGGATTTTCTTGTTGCTGTTGTTGTTGTTACTGCTGCTGCTGCTCTCAATAGACCAACAGCCCTAGGGAAGTTCTTCCGTGGGCTGTACTCACTAGAAAGATAACATTAAGAAACTTAAGAAATAAGACAAAGGTTAGACTAGAGATTTTCCCATTCCTGTATTTCACTGTGTGGCCAAGTACTGTCAGTAGCTTTTATCCTTTACATGTTTCATCAGTCTTCTACATGTCAAGCACTATTCTACATGTCAGGGATAAAAGGATGAGTAAGATGGCGTGGATCAGTGCGAGAGGGTTAATTAGTTGGTAGTCTTGGAAGAAGAGTTATATTACTAATTTGAGAAAATGCTTTATGCCCTACTTTTTTGTTACTGTTTTTTGTTGAGACAAGGTCTTGTTATATAGTTCAAGCTGTACTTGAACTTGCTGTGTAGCCCAGGCAGGCCTCAAACTTGCAGCAATCCTGCCTCAGTCCTCGAGTGCTAGGATTACAGGTGTGCACTACCGAGCCTGGCTTCCAATACGTTATTCTGGGTCCAGTGGACCCATCCCTTACTTTTCTATTATGAATTTATACTAGCATCATAGTTATAGCCCTAGTGTTATAGGTTGTGCATCTCAGTACCTTTCCCTGAGGGATACAAGAAGCAATCTGTGTGTTTATTCACTTGGTATGACAAACGGTAAGGAGTGTGTGTGTTTGCAAAAGTGGCAAAACAGGATTTGGACCCACCCTTATGCTCCTGCTAACTGGTTTTGTGTACGTTTACCTGAGCATCACAGGGAGTTCTGTAGACCCACACTGCTACAGGGTTTGTTTGGAAAAAATGTTTTATTTTGATTTTTCTAGTAGAAGTAGCCCAATTCAGTATAATGGCTCACGAAAAACCAAGATTTGCAAGTTTTCAAGATCAAAAGTGAATCATCATATTACTCATGCATGGGTGACAAAGATAATCCATTATGGTAAAATACATGCTTTCATAACAGAAGAGCAGTGTGGGTGGATGATGATGATGATGATGATGATGATGATGACAATGATAACTTTGACACTGGCCATGTGAGCCAAAGTGTCTGTGACAGTGAAATGGAGCAAGAATCGACTGATAGAGACACAGGGAATGCAGGCCTCCTTGATTCAGGTGACTAAGAAAACAGCAGCGTGAGTACGTATTTGACTAATTGAAATGTTCTGAAATGGCCACACACCCAAATGGAATGATCCAATGTTAGAACTAAATCCAAAAATATAGTGAGGGTCTTGGCAGGGGTCAAATATGTTGGACAAAGTGCCAGCACTTTGGCAATTCAGTGTTGGAAATTGTAACAGAAGAAATGCTACAAGATAGTGTGAAAGACACACAGGCTGAAATGCAAGTAAAATGTTCTGTGTGTACCAGAATCCATATGAAAAAATGTATTTATTATGACACCTCACTAGGTGAACTGAAAGCATTCATGGGTCTGCTGTACTTAGCACAGATTTCTTATGGTGACCACAGGAATGTAAAAGACTTATGGAAAAATGATGGGTCAAAATATGGAATTAAAATGTATGCCCTTGTAGATGCAAAGACTTACAATGCTTTTAATTTAGACATTTATCCTGGAGCTCAACCATCAGGTCCTTCTTTATATAGTAAAAACTGAATGATGTTGTGAACAGACTTGGTTACTCCCATCTCCCAAATTAATTGGAATGTGACATTGGACAATGGATTTGCCGGTTTCCAATTGATGTTACGTTTGCTACCAGAGCACAAGTTGACCTGCACAGGAACTGTATGCAGAAACAAAGCAGAAATTCCAAATGAAGTGTTGCAATTTCAAAACAGAGAACTGTATAGTACAATCTTGGGATTTCAGAAAGAAATAACATCGGCCTCATATATGGCAAAGAAAAACAAACTGGTATTGCTGATGTCAACATTTCACCATGATGGAAATATTGATAGGGAAACCTTGACAGAACAGAAGCCAGAGATGGACACTTTCAACAGTAAAACTGAAAGTGGAGTAGATGTTTTTGACGAGCTGTGCAGCAACTCTGATATCACTTGAAACACAAAGCATTGGCCAATGGTTGTGTTTTACACAATCCTAAACATGTGTGGCATAAATAGTTTGATAGTTTACAAAGAAAATAACAGGTGCAAAATACCACAGAGAAATTTTCTTAAAGGATTGGGATGGGAGTTCATAAGAGATCATTTACTGTGGAGGAAAAACACAGTTTCTGCCCTGGTAGCAATGCAAAAAATTTTGCAGCATATTGGTGAGCTGACAGGCACAGCGTCACAAGGACATGCTATGACAACAGGAAAACCAAAAAGATGGCAACTGTACCCTACAAGAAAGTACAGGAAAACAAAACATACGTGCTATCAGTGGAAGTGATTCTGGTGTATGGAACATGCAGTTGTCATGTGTGAAGACTCCCTTAGATGTGACAGTCAAAGCCAAGCTTATTTCTGTAGTGGACTTTTGTTGGTGTTTTCACTGTAGTTCACATAGGTTTTTATTTTCGATGTTATCTTTTAGGTTTTGTAGGCAAGTAAACAGCTAATCTGAAAATGTTGATGTCTATTCTAAGCACTCATTATACATTTGATACTGTATTTTACTTTATTGCATTTTATTTCCCTGCTAAGTGCATGTTGTGCAATCTAGTAGGAAACTCTGATGTTATCTTTTAGGTTTTGTAAGGAAGTACACAACTGATGTGAAAATGCTCATGTCTGTCCTAAATGCACAATACATACTAAGAATTTTAGCCAGGCATGGTGGTGCACGCCTGTCATCCCATCACTAGGAAGGCTGAGGCAGGAGGATTTCTGTGAGTTCGAGGCCAGCCTGGGCTACATAGTGTGTACAGGCCAGCCTGAACTACATAGCAAGACCGTGTCTCAAAATAAATACCTATACAAATAAATAAATAAAATAAAGAATTTAAGAATTCATTTTGTTGGTATTTTATGTTCCTGTTAACTATAGACTGTATAATGTAATAAGAACCTTCTGACAAAACAGCAAGACCACTGACATTTCAAGTATGTCCTACAAAGAGACCAGGAAAGGCTGGGCATGGTGGTGCATGCCTGTAATCCCAGCACTGCGAAGCCTGAGGCAGGAGGATCACTGTGAGTTTGAGGTCAGCCTGGGCCACGTTGCGGGACCCTGTGTCAAAAAAACAAAACAAATAGCAAAGAGGCAAGGAAAGCAAGACATGTGTTGTCAGTGTAAGTGAGACCTATGCATGGAACATGGAGTTTTTGTCATTGTGAAGACCGACTTGGGTATGACAGTTGAAGCAAAGCATATTTTTGTGGTGGAGTTTTATTGTTATTTTCATTGTAACATTTATTTCTAATGTTACCTTTTAGATTTTGTAAGCAAGTAAACAGCTGATGTGAAAATGTTGATGTCTATTCTAAATACAAAGTACATATTAAGAGTTTAATAATTTATTTTATTGATATTTTATGTTCAATAATTTATTTTATTGATTTTTTAAACGTTAACTACACACTGCACAATATAATTAGAACCTCCTGACAAAATAGCAAGACCACTAAGATGTGAAGTACGTCTTACAAAAAGGCCAGGAAAGCAAAACTGTGTGTGTGTTTGAACATGCTGTTGTCAAAGAAATGACGTCACTCGGTTGTTGAGTCTGTCGTGTGTGCAGGTTGTTTTAGGTATGCTAATTGAAGTAAAGCGTTTTTTTTTTCAGCGTGCTATTGGTATTTTCATAGTAGTTCATATAGGACTTTATTTAAAAACTCAATATTTTATTTTTGGGATTTTTTTTCTTTTAAACATTCATTGTTTAATATAATAAAACTCAAAATTAAAGTTGATAATCCATCTATAGAAATGTGGACAGACTGCTGTCAGACGGAATGCCCAACAGACCCATGTTTCTGTACCGTGTTCACAGAATTAGTCTTAGGCCCCATGGGAGAATATCGGATTTATAGTTTTGATTGAAACTCTGACTTTGTAGAGTCTGATATTTCAGATAGTTTTTCTTAATCCAAACCTTTTTTTTTTTTTTTTTGGTAGCATCTGCAGAAAAAGAGGCAATCAAGAGTACATACTCCAAAGTCCTGGATGCATATGGACTCTTAGGTGTTTTGCGGTTAAATCTTGGTAAGTTTGTTATTTAGTATAATTTATGTATTATTTTTATAATTCTAAGGGTTTGAGAGAGACTACCTATGTATCATGTCAGACTCAATAACTGAGCTATAAAGTGTGGTAACATCTTTTAAATATTAGGCTAAGGAAATGTTTGTTGTTCAGGAAGATACACTATGTCCTTAAGCTTTTGTGACTTTTAATTCCATAGATTGTGTCCTGTTTGAATACATTTAGAGGGGCTGGGTTATAGCTCAGTGGCATGGCACCTGCCTGGCAAGTGTAAGGTCCTGAGTTCGATTCCCAGTACCAAAAAAACACAAAACTGAATACATTTAGAGAAAATCAGAACCTTGTCCACTTACTTGGATACAGTACATTTAGGAAAATGTGTCTTCATGGAACCACAGTGATTTCCCAGATTTATTGTGAGATAGTTGTCTGTTTTGGATTCAGAAGGTCTCAGCTTAAGTCTGTCTGCCACTTAACATCTCCATGGACTGCAGAATAACCCTTGATAATACTAATTTGTCCACAGTGTGATTGAAACTGGCCTACAGCCTGGGACTGGTCCATGAACTGTTTTGTTACTGATCCATCCTGGGAGAAGCTGGTACTGTCATGTGGATCCTATACATGGCTCCCTTCCTTGATAAAGTCTAATAATGGAAAAGCAAACAAGCAAAACAAGAGTCACCTAAACGGAAGGGTGGATTTAGTGATATATTTGATTTCCCTTATGGTAGGGGCCCCTTTTTTTTGTATGTTGATGGACCATACTTTGAATAGCACAAGTCTACAAAATGGAGATTTGTCATGTGTTATTGATCTATCATAGAAAAAACACTGTGCCTAGCTGCTTTACTGGTAATTGTTCTAACTCAGGTATTTTAATCCCTTTATACATAGGGTTCTATCTTGGGTTGGTTATCATGATGTACTTTGGTCTAGATAAGTAGTGGAGACAAGACTTCAGGGCACTTCTGTCTGTGTCAAAGCTCACGCTCAGAGCACATACTGCTAAGCTCCAACTTGATACTAATTTCATAGAATTTTTGTCATAAAAGTCTATGAAGAATGAAAATGTCCAGAAAAAAGAAAATTAAATGAAAAATGTCTATGAAAGTGTTTGCAAAACAAATTGCCTTATAAATTGTTACCAAAGACTTTTTTGGCCTATATGTCATCATCATCAGTTAACATGTTTTCAGCTTTACTATTTATAAAGAGTTTTCACCTTCATTATCTTAGCTGAACTTCTGAGCATCGTAAAGAAAGGTAGTGAAGGCAATACATACATTATCTATTGGATAAATTTGTATGGCCTCAGGTTAAGTAGAGGACTAATTTCATAAATATGAGATTATCCTGTTAATGTTTAAATGTTTATTGCACTAAATGTGTTTAAGCAAGGAATTTTTTAACTAAAAAAAAATCTAGTTGTTGATTTAACTATCTATGATAAATTTAAAGTAATCACAATGTCAGGTTTAAAAGATGGAGACAAAAGAAAAAAGTTAGAAGAACTTTATTTTTGAGACAGCCTTGCTTTTTCATTCACTATATAGCCCAGGCTGAACTCCAATTCATGGTAATCCTCCTGCCTCAGCCTCCCAGGTACTGGGATTACAAGTGTGTGGTACCACACCCAATTAGAGAAACTTTAAATGGCTTGGAAATATTGGGTTTTTCATTCAAATAAAATCTTTGGTTTTTGCAGGTGACACCATGTTACATTATCTGGTCCTTGTCACTGGATGTATGTCTGTTGGAAAAATTCAAGAATCTGAAGTTTTCCGAGTTACTTCTACCGAGTTTATATCACTTCGAGTTGATGCTTCAGATGAGGATCGAATTTCTGAAGTTCGAAAGGTTTTGAATTCAGGAAACTTTTATTTTGCATGGTCTGCATCTGGAGCCAGTTTAGATCTGAGTCTCAATGCCCATCGTAGCATGCAAGAGCACACCACTGACAATAGGTTTTTCTGGTGAGTCTCTTTTATTTTTGACCTTTTAAATCGTGTGTGTAGTGGCTTAGTGATTTGGGTGAATTGATCAATAGTTGCTGCTCCCCTAGAGGTCGCAAGGAATGGACATGGCTGATTGCTCACACCTGTCTTTCTTGCTCCCAGATCCTTAGAGCAGGATGATAGGCGGCTTCTCTTTGGGTGTTGAAGTTGGCATGTGACATGAAGCACACTTGTTCTTCTTGATGTAGATAATCTTTCATATCAGAAATGTACTTAAAATATTTGTGTTAAATTTGGGAATGATGTTGGTTGTAATAAAGTCATGTTATTCATATTTATTATTCTGAGTTCCAAAATCTTGTTGTTGGCATTATTAACATTGTCAACCAATCTTCCCTTATTATTTTTAATTTTAGGATTGTAAGTAGATCATCTTTTTATTATTATTATTGTTTAAGTAGTGGTATGGGGGATTGAACCAGGGTCCTACAGGCAGGCAGGTGCTCTGCCCCCAGCTTGTGTAGATGATTTTGATTCAAGAGCAACAGATTGTGAAGAAATAGTATGCTGAGGCAGAGTCAGTGCTGCAGAAAATAAAACTTGCACACATACCTGTGATACATTACGTGATTGTATATTGCTGTGCAGTGTTGTAAGTAGGCATGAATAGTGAGTAAAACCTAAGAGCCTACTTAGCATGCCAGGTTTCACGGTAGCAGGCCAGCTTTCATTAATGTTGGCTTTTTTCCTAACTGCCATGTGCAAATTATATTTAGTACATTGATATATGTTACAAGGCCAAAGCTCCAGGGCTTTCTGTGCTGTTGGCATCCTTCAGTAGCTCAAGTCTAAAATGTTCTCTCTCACGTATTTTCTCTCCCTCACACTTTCACCATCACCTGTGTGGTTCTTGAGTAGCACATTCAGGTTTGACCCATTTGCTCTCACTGTCAGAAGGGTCAAAATCAACAGCCTTAGAAGAGGAAACTAACCTCAGGGCAACAGTTTGGTCAATTTATACCTTACATGGAGGTGTTTTGGCCCAGAATAGTGCATAGGGGAAGACAGAGGGCAGAATGAGCAAAGAATTTAGAGCACTTTCTGTCAGACACTTGAGCTTAGCAAAGGAGAAGACAGTGAGGGATGGGAAAGAAGAGGTAGGAGTGGTGGAGGGGTTATTAGAGCAAATGACTGGACTTAAAGCCCCATCTGCTCAAGAAGCTGATGGCGGTAGGACACACTTTTGTCTAGCATTCAGAAATAAGCTTCCAAGAGTTAAACCTGTGTCAGCTGTACACTTTACTGAAGGCGGACATTGAAGTCCTTTGAGAAGAGTAATCCTGTTGCAGCTGTGCTTATGTTTTTGTTCCTTCTTCATTCCTATCCCAGATTCCTTAGATGGAGAGAGAAGAGCTTTCCTATCACATTTGAAGCCCAAACAGGTGCAGCTGCATTTGCTAAGTTCAGTCAGTAGGGAGACTTCATTCATCTCTGTATTCAGTTGGAAGTAGAAATGGGAGCATTGAGATCACAGAGAGCTGAGGGGTTTGTCCAGTAGGTACCGGGTTGAGCAAAGGGATGGCTAATGCAGCAAAGATGAATTTTGTGCATTTTATAGTTTTTATTATTTTGATAAGGATTGGCATACTTGAGCTTCAATTTCCATAGAAAAATGAAAGTTTTTAGAGGGGCTGGGGATTTAGCTCAATGGCACAGCGCCTGCCTGGCGAGTGCAAGGTCGTGAGTTCGATTCCTGGTACTGGGAAAAAAACAACAACAACAACAAAAAATGAAAGTGTTTAGAATTCATTCCCTTGCAATTTGGTATAAATATTTTGCAAGACACAACAGTTATTGTGGCTGGAGTGCCAAATTCTGTCACAAAAACCAGGTACTTTGGTTCCAATGGTGATTGTAAGCTGCTGCCAGTTAAGAGTTCTGTGTAAAGTTAAGTAGAGTTAAAGCAGTGACACATTGATAGTAAAGAAAAATGAAAGCTGACAGCAGAGGATGAAACTCACACAAAATGCCTAGAATCCAAAGTCTGTTAAATGGAAAGAGTGAGTCTCTTATCTCCTTGCTATGCCAGCTGTGGTGCCGTGGACATACTGGGTCACAATCCTTTTGAACTTTCTTTCAGATCAGTGTAAGTAATAGTTAAGAATGGAAGCTTATGTCACTGTATTTGTCAGATAAGTAATGGTTATCAGACTTAGTGTTATCTCAGTATTCATTTCATCACTCATTTACATTGCATTGAGATTTTATTTTATTTTATTTTTTTTGGTACTGGGGACTAAATCCAGGGGCTCTGCACAGAGCTGTGTAGTTTCCTGAGTAGGTAAAAGGTTGGGGTCATAGCTGGTCCACCTGAACTGCACATGACCACCTTCGCTGCAGCTTAGGGGCCAAGAGTGAGGACTGCTGCTCTATATGTGTTGCTGTCTGTTACTGTCCATGACCCTGAGTCTTCAGGAAAGTGCTGTTACAGTTCTTGTACCTTGTTTAAGACCGCTAAGTAATACAGAGCAAGGGTCTAGAGCTAAGGAATATGGAGCAACAATACAGAAAACCCACTTTTGCATTGTTAGTGGATTTTTGCTTAACAACGTATTTTTCTTCCTGATAGGTTATTGGAAGTTGCCACGGAAGCTTACTTATGTGTTCTGTAGAGGATTGGTTTCCAGCACTGACCCCTGCAGCCCCCATCCATGCTTTACCTGTAGTGGCTCCACTTTTATCTGTCTCTTAATCACTGGGCTTCTTGTGTTTGTTTGAATAACTTCTTTCCCCTGCAGATGTTTGTAAACCAGGCCCCATCTGTTTCTTACAATGCTAAAAGTTTTGAAAGGGGGCTAAGGGTGCAGCTCAGTGGTAAAGCACTGGCACAGCATGTATGAGGCTCTGGTTTCAATTCTGCAGTGCTGGAAAAGAAAAGTATCTGGAAAATCCTATGCTTGTGCTATCTAATATAGTAGGCATTAGCCATATCTGGCTTTTTTTTTTTTTTTTTGAGACAAGGTCTCACTGTGTTCGAGGCAGGCCTTGAACTCACAGAAACCCTCCTGCCTTAGCCTCCTGAGTGTTAGGGTTACAAGTGTGTGCCACCATACCCAGTTGGCCATTTAAACTAATTAAAATAAAACCTTATAAATCTTCTAAGTATACCTTTATAAAGTGGAGTGTGGGTATCTAGATACACTCCTTTTTAGAACAAGTTAGGCTATATACATTATATACAAAGACGTAACAAATAGGGCACACGTACTGAAATCACTGATCTTTAATACTGACCATAGATTGCATGTCTAAGAATCTCCATTTCATTTTATAGCTTTATCTTCTGATCTCTAGCATAATAACGTAAATGAACTGATTTATTTTTGATGTCCTTTAACTTAAGAAGAATAATATTTGGGGGGCACTCTTAAAATTTATACTTCATTATTTAGTAACCTAACGCAGTTATTTCTTTTTCCTGTAGGAATCAGTCCTTGCATTTGCATCTCAAGCACTATGGTGTGAATTGTGACGACTGGTTATTACGCCTCATGTGTGGGGGTGTGGAAATCAGGACAATTTATGCTGCTCATAAACAGGCAAAGGCTTGTCTCATTTCAAGGCTAAGCTGTGAACGAGCTGGGACAAGGTTCAATGTCCGGGGAACAAATGATGATGGTCATGTCGCCAACTTTGTTGAAACAGAACAGGTATATAATGTTTTGTATGCTTATTCATGTACTATCGGAGAAGCATAGAAAATACGAGAATAATAGATTTTTACTTGATCCAGAACACATTTTGACAGCTGTAACGTAATGATGTTCTTACTGGCCAAAAGAGAGTTCTCTAAAACAACCTGATCTAGGTATGGCTCTTGAAAAACCTAACAAGGTATTCATTAATTAGTGTGCCGTAGTCCGTGCTGTGCATTTCATATTAAATTTTAAATAGTTAAAGAAGTAGACAATTTAGGAAATGTAGACCTTTTGTGAAATGAAATCTAACTCTTTATCAGAGTTATGTATACTAAAATTAAAAGTTATATTTATGGCTATGAAATTTACTATAAAATTATAAATTCAGACTGTGCCCCAGTCCAGCTGGGGCAATTTTCACGTTAGGTTTTGAGAAATATGGAAAACTAAGGAAAATAAATGAAATGTAAAGGTATGTGTATAAAATATTTAGATTAAAAGGAGTGCCTTTTAAAAAGTTGTGGTTCTTAAGCATATATATGTCCTGTTTTCTTGGTTAACATTACCTGAAATAAAACAGACTTTTAATGGCCTATGTTTTATACTTTAGCTAGGATAATTTATATATGAGACATGTCATAAAATATAAATACTATGAAACAGGTTTTAGTAATTTTGTTTTTCTAATGTAGAAGTAAATATATATAGATGTGTATATGTATATATATGTGTAATATATGTATGTATTGTGTGATATATATGTATATATGTGTGTGTGGTATGTGTATATATATCTATATCTATATCTAATTATATCTATATCTATATCTATATATTTTTTGGGTAGGTTGTGTACTTAGATGACTCTGTTACTTCCTTCATACAAATCCGAGGATCTGTTCCATTGTTCTGGGAGCAACCAGGGTTGCAAGTAAGCATTTAACATTCAATTTTTTTTCTTGGAAATATTCTATAGTCTCTAAATGTTTCAGGTAGTTAATTAATTCATGGATTGTGCTATTGTCCTATCTAGTATATTACTTAAATTCACAAGTGAGGAGCTGAGAAGAGTCTTATCTTAGATATCTTTCTCTTTAACTTACTTTCAAATAGTATTTTAATTTTGTGTTACTGTAATGATATACCTGAGGCAGGGAAACTTTATAAAGAAGAGTTTCATGTTGGCTCATGGTTCTAGAGACTGCTGATTTGGCAGCCCATTTAGTTCAGCCGCTGGTCAGGACCTAATGCCAAAAGGCATTACAAAGGCGGAAGTGGGTGGGAGGATGAGATCAGGTCTTGGAAAGGAAGCCAGAGAGACAATCAAGACTGCAGCTTGGGCTTTTTTAGCCATTTGCTGTGGTAGGAACTTACTCTAGAAGTACCTCATTCCCTTTTGAAGGTTGCTCTCTCGGTGCCTCAGGAGCTCCCACTAGCCCCACCTCCAAACCATGTCGCTGTCTCCTAACACTGCTGCCTGGGAAACAAGCTTCCAACATCTGAACCCTTAAAGGAGAAACTACATCCAAGCCATAGAATGTATCCATAAAATTTCAGCTGCAGTGTTTAGAAAATTTTGAAGTTTTCATAGTATACTAACTTTCAAAATATTTTTATACTTATTATCTTATTATCTTAGTGTATAAGGATTTAGTTTCTTTGAGCAGAAGAGTGTAATAGCTAAAATAAGCTTCTGTTGCAAGACTTCTTAGTTGGGGTCCTTACTCTGCCACTACTAGCCATTTGATCCTGGGCAAGTGATTTTGCCCTTCTGTATTTCAGTTACCTGATCTGTAAATTGGAAATGATATTCCTAGTACTGTACCTCCTTCACAGGGTGGTTGTAAGGATTAAATGCCAACACTCTGAATAGTGTTGAGCACACAGCACTATGTGAGGGTTAGTTGCTGCTGCTATTATCAGTGATAGATCTGCTACTGCCAGGAGTGGTGACGTATGCCTGTAATCCCAGCACTCAGGAGGCTGAGGACCCTGGGCTCACATGGGCTATGTAGTGAGTTCAAGGCCAGCCTGAACTGCATAGTGAGGCCCTGTCCTACCCCACCACCCACACACAAACTGTAATTTTACCTTGTAGTCTGTGATGATCTGTCATCTTCGTTGTATTTTCTGACTTGCTTTCTAATAAGTTTTAAGCATTCCTTTGTTGGTAAAAATGTCCAATCTTTAGGAGACTTTTAAAAATTATGAGGTCATAATATTAAATTGTGTGTGCCCAATAGGGTAATTGTGCATTTCAGTGTTATTCAAACACCCCTAGGCCATAAAGTGTAAGTTATATTTATTTTAGCTTCTGGGTATGTATAATTCTCTTAAGTTGTATACCTCAGTCTATAGTTTTGAAAAAAAGATGGAAAAAAAAATCTTCCCACCTCTTTAGCTTATTGCTGGGTCTCTGTTATATTCTGTGTTGGCTATTTTTGTGAAGAAAAATAACAGACCATTCCAATTTTTTCAGTAATGCAATCTATTCAAGATAGGTCAAGAATTTAACTAGCATATTAGTACTTGTACTACTTTGCTGAATTTTTTTAGTTCTTGTCAAGACTGGTTTGATTGGTGTGGGCTTTACCTTTGGCATTTAAAGATAGGTTAAATAGAACTATCTCACCCTTAAATCTCTTGGGAAAGAATCCCAGCCTAACTGCACCATTCCTAAGCTTTGGGGATTAGCAGTGATGTTTGGAATATTTGCTTTAAGAACATTCCTAAAGCCCTGGTTTGAGGCAGGTTGAATGCTTTTCTTTTCAGGACAGGCTAGTGTAAGAGATCCTGGTAGCCTATTATGGGCCCTCTGTTACACAGCTTTCTCTGTTTATTATGAATTACAGTGTTTATTCAGTAAAGCTGATTTCTGAGTAGTTTTACTGAGGGATCCTCTGGGGGTGAGAGTTTCTTTCTTTTTCTTTCTTTGTTCTTTGGGCTCTCTGCCCTCTGTGGCTGGCTAATGTCATGTGCCTATGGGTTGAAAACTATGGATTTTTAAGTCATATATTTCTTTATACTCGTAATTTTTAAGACATGGAGACAATCCAACAATTCTGCCAATTGTCTTGGTCTGTTGTTGACTGGTTGGATTGAGAGGCTTGAGTCAATGGTTTTTACAGTTATTTACCTTAATAAATTTTAAGTGAACCTTTCTTTGAATAGGAGTGGATTCTTCTTGTACCTTTTATACCAAAACATTTTCCCTCTATTCTAAAAAAGTGATAATAAAGTGAGGAAAATATGATTGATTTTTCAAAGACTGGGAAAAAGATAATTTTTTAAAAATTAAAACACCAAATCCAAAGATTTGTTATTCGATAGAAGGTAAAAAAGGACTTTTTTGACTTAGGGCGGTTGTGAATGGTTACTGGCTGTCTTGTGTATTCTTGGACCTGGAATCTATGGAAACTCCTTGAAGTTAAGTGTTGCCTTGTGACCTGCCTCACTTCAGAAGTCATGACAGAGTCCTTCACGTGCTTCTTCATGATTGATTCCACTGTGGCTGTGTAATTGGAAGAGTCATCTAAAGTGATTTTCAGCCTCAGTTTCAAATCAGCTGAATCAGAATCTCTTGGAATGGGGCCAGGAATCTGCATTTTAACTGGGTTACCTCCCACTCGAAGTTGAGAATCTCTCTTGTACAAGATCTTACTCCATTGGCTTGAGTCAGCCAGGCCCGAGCAAGCCAAGATGTCCCAACATTCTCCCAAACATTGCAAGTTTCCATTTCTTTTTATTCCCCCTCTGTCATCTCTATAAGCTCTTCATAATTTCTTGTAGCCTTAGGGATTTTCATAGTTTTTTAACTGGGCTGATCTCTCTAGACCCACTTCCTACTAGTTCTTTGATAGGTCTTTCTACTTTCGATGTATTAGGCCCATCAGATCTACTGAGCCCCCTTCTCGTAATCTAAGGTTTACTTGCATTTTGTGCCTTGCTGTTTTCTAAGAGGAATTCTCTACTTCAAAATTCAGGTGGTGTTCTTCAGCAGCCAGTGCCTATCTCATTGAATGGATTCCAGCCAGCCTTACGTGCTGATCTTTCCATTTAGTAATTTTTCCTTCAGTGTGTGTTATTTTGTACCAGGTGCTGTGACATATTTAGAGATTATAATGATTCTCACAGAGAGAACATGTAGTCTGTTTGGGGAGTCAGGCCTTGTACAGAAATGGTAAACTACAGTATGAATTCCTTTTAAATTTTATAAGTGAGAATGATGTTCTTAAGTGCTGGCAACTCTTTTATGATTCCTTTTTCTTAAGTTCTTTGGTATTTATCATTTATAGTATTATTCTTATATTATATTACTGTTATGTTGTAGCTTATATTAGTAAGTCTTAAAAAATCAGAAACCTAGCCAGGGCGTGATGGCACACACCTATAATCTCTCACCCTTAAGGGCCAAGACAGGAAGATAGATCACAAGTTTGAGCTCAGCCTGGGCAACATAATGATTTAGCAAGACCCTGTGTCAAACTAAAAAGTGCAGCAGGCCTGGGGACGTAGATCAGTGTGAAGCCTCTGGGGGTTAATTCCCAGTACCACAAAAAAAAAGAGGAAGGGAGGACAAATATGATGAGATTATGCCTAGTTTAGTGCTATATGCTCAATTTTTGGTTGACATTTCAGAAATATGTAAACAGAAAGTAATAATAGTGATAGAAATGATGTTCCATACCACTCTATTAATTTTTATTTTTAAATTAAATTTAATTTGGGGGAGAGGAGCAGAGTCTCACTATGTGGCACAGGCTGGCCTTAAAGTTGTTATCTTCTGCCTCAGCCTTCTGGGTGTTGGGTTTACAAGTGTGTGCTACTGATATAAGGGGAAATGTAACTCCCAACCTGCTAGATAGCAAGTATGCTGAGTTTGTGTCTCCTGAAACTGAAGAATGAATTCCAAAGCACAAAGGAGGTTAAGAGTAGGAAAGGTTAAAGAGGCAGGAGGTGTCCCAGAAGTAGGTTGCCACCAAGGCCACTTGTCTAAGGATGTTTTATAGAGCAGAATCATGAGGTGGGTGCAAAAAGGGCAGCACAACATGGGTCAAACTGTAATCAATCAATAAGATTACAAGTATAGCCACTTAGCTAATATTGATCCAGAATAGAAACAGGTCATATAACAGGAGTACATGGAAAGAACAAAGGCATTTTGAGAAGGGATGGGTCCGGATGCTCTGATCACCCCATGTGGGTGACTGATGTCTAGCTGGACTTTACTAGACCAGGTGATACCAATTATAATATAATTCCAGGTTATTGGTTATCCCTCAGGGGAGGCATGTAGGCCTGGTCTTTGCATATTTATCTTGAGGCCTGGTCATCTTTAGATGCACCTCCAGCCACAATTCTGAGGTGTTTATTTTTTCTGCTGACTTCCTTGACAGCCCAGTCTCTCTCTGATTGTATATTAATTTCTGTCTAATTTAGCTGCCTGTAATATACTACTGTGCCTGACTGTAAGACTTAAAAAAATAACCTGGGTGCAACTTTTTTTTCTTTAGATAGATTTATGATTAAGACCTTAAAACTTTCTAGAGTGCATCTTTTCTCACAATTGACAATAGCTGTATATTCCAGAATTTTTTCCATTAACACTGAGTAATTAAACCTAGTTTAAGCAAACCAGTCTATTGCTCAAGATCTTTTACGTGTAGCTACAGGTGTTTTTGTGTTGGGGCGTGGGGTTGTAGGGAATGACCATAGACTTTAACAAAATACAGAAGAACTTCTACTTTTCCATCTTGACAGTTACAGTCCTATATAACATAAATACTGACAAAGTGAATTTTGTAGTGTTACAAACAGTCTTTGTAGACAGAGCTTTTATAGAGTTATAGGTTGTTAATTTCAGATTATACCAAAGAAAAAGTATCAACTTCCATTATTTTTCTCTAGTATAAAATGCTTAATATATCATGGAATATACATTTTCAAATTTTATGAAGGCTGTTAAGTACCATAAAATGAAGTAGAATCTGATGAATCAGTTGACTCAAATGTGATCTCGGTGAGTCTAATCAATCTCTTTTTTTTTTTTTTTTTCCGGTCTTTTTGAGACAGGATCTCGCTATGCAGTTCAGGCTGGCCTTGAGCTCACTTTGTAGCCCAGGCTGGTTTCGAACTCACAATGATCCTCATACCTCAGTCTCCTGAGTGCTGGGATTACAGGCGTGCGTCACCATGCCCAGCTCAATTTCTCATTAAAAGGAAAAAATAGGTAAACTACTGCTTAGCAGGATATAGGACAGGAAGGGAAAATACTTAATGATAATACTGTTATTTCAGTTTGGAAATTGCATAAGCACATTAGAGCTTATTTTGTTTTTTGTGTGTTTGTTTGTTTTATGAAAACCTCCCTGCTACACTCTCTTTAAAGATACTTTATCCATAGACTAGCAAGAATCAATTCTGGGAAACTTTGATCCCAAAGTCTGAGAGAGAAATGTTAGAAGTGAAGTTCAAACTGATCTCACCTTTGTGTTTCTTTTTGACATCTGTTAGATCTTTCTCAATCCTGCCTCATCTCTTTGCTACTTTACTGTATGAGAAGAGAAAAGTTAGCAATGCATAATAGGTAGATATTTTCAATCGTATTTATTAACCTGAAATTTCTAATTTTGCAAAATGTGCTATTATATAGTTGTATGACAGTGAGGTTGACTTGGAAAGTCTGTTTTTATAGAAAGGAAGGATGGTTTTAATGCTTTGGCGCTTCTGGTGGTAGAGAGGGGATGAGAGTATTTGACACTGCAGAGAGAAGAGACACGTGGACGTTGGAGTGGAAGACTGCTTGCAAGAGTAGACGTTTAGGTCAGGAGACAGAAATTCTCATCTGAATCTTTGGAATTAGTCGCACAGATTTGAGAGGGAAGGTACATCTCTTCATTTATACAGGTTGTGTAGTTTGAGCTGAAAACAAGGTAATATAGCATTGAAAGGTAAGCATTAAAAATATTTTTTAAAGAGAAGTTATTATCCCTTCACAAGTATTTCATAATAGTGTAACTTGAACTTCTTTTTTTGGAGACAAGGGCTCTGTGTCATTCAGGCTGGCCTCTCACATTGATCCTCCTGTCTCAGCCTCCTAAATGCTGAGATTACAGGTGTGCACCACTGTACCTTACCATACTTCTTTTATAATGGGACTGCTTTTTAACAAAATAAGGGAAAGGGGAAACCCTTAGAGCATTTTAAGAAAATATTATCATGAAGGAAAATCACTTACTTGATTTCCTTACATGTGCTCAGCAAGTAAGTTGTCACATATATCAAGCATATCTTTCTTTTGTCTATATGTTGGTTTTTGGTATGATGAAATCTGCTTTTCTTGTCTAAGGTGGGGTCCCATCGTGTCCGTATGTCAAGGGGGTTTGAAGCCAATGCACCTGCGTTTGACAGGTAGGACTGACTATTTTTATGTAGTACCTTACATTTTGATTTTCCTAGGAGTAAGACTACTTATATTCACCAATTCATTTAAATGTCCTTTAGCTGTAAGTAAAATTCTTTCTGATTTCTAATTCAATTGGAAGACTGATTCCTAGTAAGTTGACTTCTAAGGGTGATAGTGCTGGAAGTGGGGGTCTTAATCTTATGGCCTTAAAACTTCCTGTCTGTTGTCCACTGTGGCAGCCACTAGCCATATGTAGCTACTCAACACTTGAAATGTGACTAGGGGTCAAAGACTTAGTACAAAAATAAGAATGCAAACTATCTTAAGATCTGCTTTAAAAATATACTTTCTTGAAAATTTAAAATTATAGATGAATCTCACATTGTATTTCCTTTGTATGGCATTGCTATATACCGGTGGTGGCAAACCTATGGCATGCATGCCACAGCGGACTGTTTGTATCATTGAAACCTCTAAAAAGTTTGCCATCTCTAAATAGTCATCTCTTATCCTCAGGGAATACATTTCAAGACCTCCCCAAGTGAATCCCTGAGACCTTGTGTTGTATACCATATGCATATATGTTTTTTCCGAAACATACATATCTGTGTTAAAGTTTGATTTAATAATGAGGCACAGTAAGATATTAACAACAAGAACTAAAAATAGAACTATTGTAACATTCTGTAAGTTCTGTGAATGTCATCTCTCTCTCTCTAAGAGTCAAGACAGCTTTTTCAGAAAATGATTGACCTCAGGTAACCGAAATTATGGCAAGTGAAACCACAGATAAGGGGAGGACAGCTGTATAGCCTCTGGATGGCTGGAGGCTAGAGAAGAAAAAATTAATTTGGGGCCTGTTTTTCAAAGGTTAGAGCTAGTAAAAAGCTCTGTCTGAATACTCCTGGAATAGGGGACCTCCTGTGTGAGGTACAGCCCTTTCCACACTGCCCCTGCTGCCTTGTCTGGTGCCGGCACCCCAGAGTGGGAAGCTTCAGCAGGGCTAGGAGTTTTACCGTCAATGCATTAGCTGAGTTTTCATCAATTCCAAGTTTTGAGAACATGTTGAATGGCTGTGTAGCCGTTTGGCAAGTTCTGTGACTTTAAAGTACTACCACCTAGGTTCCTTTTAATAATGGATTCTTGTTTATTGAAAAAAAATTAACCTTATCTTTTGATGTATGTTTATTTTCTTTCTTTAATAGGCATTTTAGAACACTTAAGAATTTGTACGGTAAACAAATAATAGTAAATTTGCTTGGATCTAAGGAAGGCGAACATATGCTAAGTAAGGCTTTCCAAGTAAGTGTGGTCTTTTCTTCTTCCATTCTGGCTGTGGTCAGAATAGTAATAATGATAATCAGAATAGAATAGTAATAATGAATAGCAAATAGTAGTAATGATAATAATGTAATATTATTACAATAGTAATAATGATAATCAGATTCTCCCAGGAAGTAAGTTACTTCCTGAGAAGACGATGAGGTATTTGTTGAAACCTTTAATTCTTTGGAGCTGTTAGGATTGAGTTTATGTAAGGCTTCTGAAGTTGGAATTATGGAAAGCCTTCAGGACGGTGACATTGTTTTCTAATCTGTTTATTTAATATTGTACAGAAGCAGAACACCCACCTCCCCCAGAAATGTTCACATCATTAGTAGGTAAATATCAGCCAGTTTCCTTCCTTATTGCCTTGCCTACTTCCGAACGACCACAGTCATTGTCATAGTCATTAAAAGTGTGAAATGGTCGGTAGTACATTTGTGTCCATGCAAGACTATACCTTCCTGCATTGAGAGAAAACTTAAATAAAAAGAACTCAAAAAATGGGTGACTTCAAAAGAAGACATACAAAATACTTTAATAAATGAGCCAATAATAGATAAGGATAAAGTATAGTGTTATGTAAGATTATAAATTTACACAAAATGGTTAGGGAACATTTTCTAAAGGTCATTCTCATTAAATCTAAAAGTAATTAATTATTTAGCTATTTTTGTAAGCTTGTGAAATAAATATTGTTAGTAAACTTTAAAAATGTATTGAATGAAGGTCTAAAAATCTTTCACTCCTCAATAGACTTGTGTTTGGGCTGGGGATTTAGCTCAGTGGCAAAGCGCCTGCCTGGCAAACGCAAGGTCTGAGTTCGGTTCCCAGCACCGGAGAAAAACCAAAAAAATAAAAAAATAAAAATTAAAAAAAAAATAGACTTGTGTTAAAAATGAGATACTTTATTTTGAGATTCTGTAATAGATATAAATAGTTATTATAGTTGGGTTGTAAAAATAAAATACTGGTGATTGGAAGTACTATTTTGTTCTTTTAAATAAGGCCAGAATATTATTTAGGTTCCCTGATGTTAATTATGTCACTTGGTCTCTCTGGGATGAGAGTTTTAGAGAGAGTATGAACTTTTAGAGATCAGATATCCTTATCTATCAACAGGTAATTTTCCATTTTACTGCCAGTATCAATGAGAGCTGTGTGGAATTAGTAGTTTCAAGGCGCCAGCTAAAGTTTAATTTAAAATGTAAAGTTCAAGTTGGCAGTGCAGCTCAGTTTGCCTTGCATGCACAAGACCCTGGGTTCAATCCCTAGGGCCACAAAAAAAGACAAAAAAAATGAAAAAATGTAAGGTTCCATTTATAGCATAATATCCATAAAATCAAGTAATACTTACATAATTATTTGTCTTTTTACCTTTAGAGTCATTTGAAAGCTTCCGAACATGCTGCAGATATCCTCATGGTGAATTTTGACTATCATCAAATGGTTAAAGGAGGAAAAGCAGAAAAATTACATAGTATTCTTAAACCTCAAGTCCAGAAGTTTCTAGATTATGGATTTTTTTATTTCAATGGAAGTGAAGTTCAAAGGTTTGATGACTCTATTTCTGTTTTGTAAATTGTAACTTTGCTATAATTTAAGTCATTCTTAATATTGGACTCTTAAATTTCCTTTCTAAGGCCGGGGATATAGCTCAGCAACACAGTGCCTGCCTGGCAAGTGCAAGATCCTGAGTTCAATTCCCAGTACAAAAAAAAACCTCCTTTCTAAAATTTAAAATCTTTTTTATGTGTAGTTTTAGGTTTTTCTTCCTATAGGATTCATCAAATTAGAATAAAAAATTACATTATTGAGCATATATTATGGGACTAGCAATATACCTAGTCTTTATTTGTACCAATAGCAATAAGTAGGATAGGTTCTATTACTATACTTAATTACATTTGAGAACATTGAGACATAGACTGTAATCTGCTTTAAATCATGTAACCTGGAAGTATTAGTGCTAGGATTCATCTGGTTCCAGACTTCATGCTGTTACACTTCAGTTTTAAAACTAATGTTTTAGCATTTCTTGTTTGTTTGTTTTTTGGTACCAAGAATAGAACTCATGACCATGCGCTTGCCAGGCAAGTGCTGTGCCACTGAGCTATATCCCTGACTCTTAATGTTTTGACATTTCTTGACTCTAGGAAAAAAACTAACTAATGGAAATAGAAATGAAAAACATTGCTTTTACTAAATTATAGTAAGATGTGCCTTATAATTTAAATCTTCAGTTTTTGCATATGAAAAAGGAAAAAGTAAGTTTGAAAGATTTAATTTCAGAATATAGGCTGAAATTTAAACTTTTGTAAGCAAACTCAAATTTTTAATTTTTTTAGCTTGTGTTTAGTATCAATGCCATAACAGTTTTTATAGGATAGTCAACAGAGATAGCAGGTCTTAGATTTGTAAACATTCATTCTATAAATATTCAATTGTTTTTATATGCAAAGAACTATGAGGTCATAAATCTGAATGTACATTTAGCTCCTAAACTACTGGTCTAATTAAAAACAAGTGTGTGATGGATATGTGATAAAGAATACAGGGCAAAGTATTAATAGACGTAGAATCTGGGTGGTGGATGTATGGATATTCACAGTATAATTCTTTCATCCTTTTGGTATGTTTGAAAACTGTGATAATAAAACACTGGAGGGAGAAAGTAGTGCCATATTTTAGTTACCTCAACTCTCAATTTGTTATAGCTTTATTTTTGGTGCGAACTATCTGTTTAACTTTATTGCAACTGTTACAGGTGCCAGAGTGGTACAGTTCGAACAAACTGCTTGGATTGTCTTGATAGAACAAATAGTGTGCAGGCATTCCTTGGCTTAGAGGTAAAATAAAACGTGTGTGTCTTGTGCCACATGCCTCTTTGAGTGCTTTGGCAGTATTTATGTTTGTCATTAATTACTTTTCAGAAAATACAAATGAAATTGTAGTTCATTAACGCTTTTTTAACTGCAGTGTCTCTTTTTGAGGAGCCCAAAATCTCTTTTGATTTAAATTGTTTGTTTATCTGCCCTTTATAGTCTTTCTGTAGACAGCTTGACTCTTGCTTTTAAAAACTTGTATTTATTCTGGTAATTGCTTCTTTTCAAAAAAAAATATGTATTTGGCCTTAAGTCTGTATGTTTTCTCTTAAAAGTCTGTTTTAGATAGGAAGTGTCTGTCTTCACATGTACAACTCTATAGGATTATCTTTTTGACAGTCTGTGACTTAATCCAGTTTGATTGGCATTTTCAAATAAGTACCCACAAAAAAGAGGATTGGATGAAAATGAATGAGATTCAACTTCCTCTGAGGTTTTTGTTTAAAAGTTATTTTTTCTTTACTGTTTATCCATCAGATTTCAATATAGCATTAATATATCTTAACTATTTGACAAACTTTGTAGGCATACTTAGTTTCCTGAGTCCTCTCTGTTATACAAATTAGGATTATAAGGCTATGGTAGATCTTAATTTAGTTCCATAAGAATTTAGTGTAGTCATCTGGGCGTGGCTGTGAGGCAGGATTGCAGTGAGTTGGAGGCCAGCCTGGGCTACATGCCGAGTTCAAGACCAGCCTGAACTACATAGCAAGACCCTGTCTCAAAAACAAAACAACAATAAAAAAACTTAGCATAATTCTCAAGTATTATATAAACAGGAATAGGAAGTAACTGCTCTTTGATTCTTTAATGATCCTAAATATGGCCATAGTATTTGTTAACTAGCCGCTGTGCGGCTGAGCTTCCATCTCAAAAATGAAGTATAAATTGGGCATGGCAGTACATGCTGTGATGCGAGCACTTGGGGAAGGTGATAGGAAGGCTGCAAGTTTGAGCCCAGCCTAGGCAATTTAACAATTTATAGAGACCCTGACTCAAAAAATTTACAAAGAGCTAGGGATGCAGTTCAGTGTGAAATCCCTGTGTTTAATCCCAGGTACTATTTTTTTTTAAAAAAGAATGTATAAAAATCTCTGCAGAAATGTATTTTTTATGTAACTAAATAAATTTTATGGCTTTGTTTTTGAAATCTGTCATTGAAATTTACCATTATTATTTAGAAATCATGTCATAGATGAAAAGCAAAAGAAGGCACGTTGGTTATTTAGATAGAGTTTATCCACAATGGCTCAAGTGTATTTCAGCTTCTGGTTTTAAGTGGCTGTATGCAATTACATGGATTTTGTGTAAGCTTATTGAAACACTTGAAACTCTTAGTAAAAGTAGAACAGGTGTTAGTTTTCAGGATCCACTTTCATGCTGTTAGATGTGAGAATACAATGGCATTTGGTTGGCTGGTTACAAAATCTACTGCTAGAATAGGCAAAGCCAAACTAATAGTAAAGTAAAATCAGTTTTGCCCATTTCCTTGAGGAAAGAAAGGTTTAAGTGATAAAAGAGGTCCTAGGAGCTTACTTTGTTTTATTCTACTTGCTAACAAAGAACAGCTCTGGTGTAAGTCTGTAGGTAATAAAATGAACCTATTGAGGTTAATATTATTTTAGTTATAATTCTTTTATAATTATGGATAATCTTACTTAACAGATAAAAGAAAAATTAAATGGGAGGGAGTTAAGTAAAAATGTAAGGGATAGATACTATTAGAGAAACAAACTGGATACTGATTATATCTTCTTTGTGCCAAATTTCGAGGCTAGAAAACACACAGAGTGAAGATGGGTAAGTTTCCTGAACACTCACAGTTACTTGGAGTGGACTTTTGGGAGCCCAGGCTGGGTTCCTTCCGGTTCCCCTTTATACACAGTACCGATTATTAGAATTTTATATGTAAAAGAGCTGTCATGACTCTACAGTCAGGACGGAATGTATTTTCTTTATTTTTGTAACAATTTAATAGCAACTTGTTTTTTCTCATCATCTCTTAACCTTAATTACTTAAGTTTATAGAACCAAATCCAAACATTAAAGAAACTTTGTTATTTCTGTATATATTTAGGTATATTTTTCTTGGTTGAAATGTAAGCTATTAACTAATTAGGTCATTTAGGTGAGCAAGCGGAACTAGTCGGATTTTTAGAGACACTTTAAAATTAATTTTCTCATTTAACCAGAAAGTTCTCTAATATAAGGAAATGTTAAATTACTTGTCATTTTCATTGATGTGGCATTTACTTTAAAAATTGCAGTGTTGGAAAAAATAATCCATTTAGCTTAGTAAATGTTAATGTTTTCAAAGTCCAATCTGACATCACCCTATAAATATATTTTTTATTCTACTAGTCATATTATGATTAATATAGTGTTATATTTATAAAATTTCTCATGTCTGCTGTTTTAGATGCTAGCTAAACAGTTGGAGGCTCTTGGCTTGGCTGAAAAGCCTCAGTTGGTGACTCGCTTTCAAGAAGTTTTTCGGTCCATGTGGTCTGTGAACGGCGATTCAATCAGTAAGATATATGCCGGCACTGGAGCTCTTGAAGGGAAGGCTAAGGTAGATCCAGATCTGTTACATTACCAAAGATCATCTTTTTCCTCTTTCAATAAAACTTTTAGATGGCCTTTTTTAAACTAATAGATTTTTTTAAGTTGAGATATATCTATTTTAGATTTCTGTTTTACCATGCTTTTTTTGCCCTGTTTGAAATTGCCTTCCACAGTAGGTACTAATGATTAAAAGAAATGCAGATACTTCCTTAAGTTTGGGAGGATAGGTGTATATGACATGTTTAGTCGTTTAGTAAAAAGCCGCTATGTATGTGTTGCTTATGTTTTATGGTTTTCTCATTTTTCTGTTTTACTTTTTAGATGCTTGATATTGATTTAAATATAATTATTTCAACTGCAGTCCTCTTAATAAAGTGCCCTGTCTCACTTGGTTTCGTGTCTACTGCACTGACACAGTGCCTGTTATTTAATAGAAGCGTGACAAGTGCTGGATGAACAAATAAGTCTATTGACAGCTTATATAATACCTACTATGATCTCAACCTTCTGAGTTTTTATCCTTTTACTTATTTTAACGTGAGAAGGAAGCTGAGTAGTAGTGATGTGCCAAAGATATGTGAGATATCAGCCCAATTATAATTTTGGGTCTCATCATTACTTTTTAATTGCTAGTATTATCAGTAGACTGCTTTCCTTTCTAGTATTGACTGTTACTGTGGTAATTTAGGACTGTACTTGGGATATTTTTCACTGTTTTTATACTTAAGTATTGTTAAACTTTTTAAGAGAGCTTGATCTCACGTGATTTATTAACATTCTAAATCTATACACCCCCTCAAATATTTCAGGAATAGAAATGAAAATATTTACTACTTTTAGAATTTTCATTCAGCTTCTTTAATACGGCAGCTGAAATTCTGTAAATACCATTTGTCATCTCCAAGTCTTTCACTTTCCAGAACTTCCCTCTCTTCTGAATCTCATAAAATGCCACGCCTCTGCCCACAAGCGTTGGCCTTACCTGGAGTTCGTTCTGCTCAGCTCTTAGGAGTAGTTTATATTGGCTTTTACAGATGTTTACTTCTTAAATTGTTAAACTTTCATTTATTCCTTTTAGATAGAGAACATAAATCTCACTATTAAAATAATGTTATTTTCTATAACGGTTACTTAAGAATACTCTTTTACATTCTGCCTTTCTGTTTCTTTTGTGACTAAGACAATATATGTACAGAGGTTACATATATTTTCAGTGGTCTTTTACCTTTAATGTATAGTTATAAAATCTTTATTAAATATACTAGTCTGCACTGAGCTAAAATCTAACATCTGAACTGCTTTCTTTCCTTTCTCTGGGTTCCTTTTGATTAATTGCCTGATAATGTGAATGGTGAGTGTTTTTTCAATAATTTATGTATGTTATTATATGAAAGGGAAAGCACATTTAATGCCAGATTCAATAGTTGATTAAATATAATGGCATTCGTTTAGTGGTGTTTAAGAAAATTGGCTCTTTATTCTAAAATGTCTAATTACTCTTACTACTTTAGGGGATAAATACTACATATTGCAAACTCAATATTATTTCCTAAAAGGCAAGAGGTTTGTTTTCTTAAAGAGTTTTTTTTGGTACTGGAAATCCAACTCACAAACTTGCACTTGCCAGGCAGGCGCTTGTGCCACTGAGCTGTATCCCCGGGCCCTTAAAGTAATTTTTCGCATTCAAAAAATCTGTAAGATCAAAATAAACCTTCTTTGTAATAACCAATATGCCTAAGTAAAATATATGTTCATTAAAAGTTATAATTAACTCTCGTGATGTTTTGTTGTCATTAGTTGTGTAGGCAAGAAAATGGCAATATACAAACAGCTTATGTGTAATATTTATGAGCTGTAATTGTAAATTTCTCTTTAGATCCTTGATCTTAGATTAAGCTTTAGTTTTAGTTAATATCAGTTAGTTGGGATCAGTTCTATTTTTCTACTGTCAAAGTAACTTGAGGCTTTCCTAGAACCCTGTAACTTGTACATGTCACCCGTCTCTCCTCTCTTTACGCATTCCATCCCTGCCTCTAAAGGTAACAGTGTAAGAGGAAGGTCCATGTTTTAAATAAGGGCATTCCTGTTTATTTTTTTATAGTAAACGGTTTTAACCTTTATTGCTATAAATAACAGTACTAGAGACAGTTATAGCACTTAGCTTTTTCATTTCTTTGTGCAGAACTAGTATCCAAAATGGGAAATGGAACAGTGACATCTTGAGGCCTTTATATTCAAAATATAATGATTAGGTCCTTTTTTACACTAAAATCATGTAAAACTGATTTGAAGTTGTACAGTCGACAATGTTTGGAATAAAAACTTGTGTTCCTTCATCCCTCAACAGGGTGGAAAGTTAAAAGATGGTGCTCGTTCAGTCACCAGGACAATTCAGAATAACTTCTTTGACAGCTCCAAGCAAGAGGCCATTGATGTCCTGCTCCTGGGAAACACTCTCAATAGTGATTTAGCTGACAAAGCTCGAGCACTTTTAACTACTGGGAGTTTACGTGGTATGCATACTTACTTTATATCTTATTTTATGTACTTTTTTGTTATTTATGAAAATCTAAGAGGTACTTGTAAACTTATTTACATAAATAAATTTTAGATTGTAGTTAATTAAAACAGTTTTAAAAGAAATTTCTGTAAAGGTGATTTTTTTTTTTTTTAAATAACATTCTCCAAAGGAAATTTGTCTCTTTTTAAAATATATCATCAACGGGCTAAATATTTTCTTCTATAGGTTATGATTGAGAATAGTCAATATATTGCTAACTTTATAGTCAGGATTTCACGGAATATTTAGCTAGAACTTATAATAAAGTATGCATTAATCGCATTATATTAAAAGGCTTTATTGACAAAAACCAGTATCTATATTAGTTATTTTTCTGATCACTAATTTAAGATAGTGCTTATTATTGGCCACTAAGTACTATTACCAATTTTAATATCTGAAATAAGTATATGATTTTCAAGGTAGTTTTTTACCTTTCCTTGTACATCTTTTATTCAGATCAAAAGGATATGAGCTTCTCATGTCAGCACATAAAAGTACTATGAGAAAACTCTACATTTATTATAGATTTAATAGACTAGGCTTCCTTTTTTCCTCCAAGATTCATTAAGGTATAGCTGAAAAAAATAAATTAGATTTCCTTAATTGTATTTTTTCCCTTTTTTTTTTTTTTTTCCCATTTTAACTTTAAAGTATTATAAACATTTTTTTTCCTGTTTGTGACAAATCAAATCTTCTTGTATTCCCTCTTTCAAATAGAAGAAAACTGTTCCTACATCATGTAGTTTCTTCTTGGTTAATTATTTGGCAGAGTAGCTGATCATGGACTCCGAAAATTCCACATGGTGTCCTGAAGCTAGTTAATTACAGCCAGCTCCTCAGGGATCTGTAAGCAGGCTGGAGCACTGAGACCTACTCAGACTCAAAAAATCTGATCGTAAGCACTACTTTCAACTTCAGGCTTTCTTTCTGGCTTCCAGAAGTAGAGACTGACTGATGTGTGTTTTGTTACCTCTTTCCACCTGTGCCTACTTTGATGTGGAGGCTTTAATAAGCAACAATTGAAAGTAAGTGGTTGAAGGAAAGAAGAGAGACAAAGTACCCAAGTAATTCTCAAACCTGAGCATCAGTTTTTTTAGTTTCCTGCACATTCCACTATGTATGTAAAATGTGCCTTTAAATATAAAAAGTTACAGTCACTTCCACTATAATGCCTGTTTGAAACTCGAATTTGTTCCAACATGGTTGATATATGAGGGAATGAGTGAGTATAATGCCGGTTTTGCATGAGCGTATACTTGATTTCATTAGCAAGCAACATTAGGTAAATGTAAAAAACTACCCAACAGAACCGAGATGGGTACAAATCTGTAAAATGCTCATATACATATGTACACAGCTTACACATCTTCCCTGTCCTAGTGTAGCACATGTGTTATGAGCCATGCTCATCCACATCTGATGTTTCAATTTCCCGTCTGTTTCCTGATAAGTCTTCTGACATCATTCATTTTTTCACAATTATTATTTCCTTCTGGTGGCCATTTCTACAAGCCAACTTCATATTTGTTTTCAAGATGAAGTGCCTTGTTTATTGTAGTATTCATGCATTCATAACCGTGTAAGATGCATAATGCCGTGCTGCTTTATTGAGTTCCTATCTTTGGTGTGTCACTCTTGAAGTTTTTCAGTGTGGTAGCCCAACCCCATTTTTCCTATTAGCCTCATGGCTATAGGAATTTGCACAAATTTGCATAGTATGTGATGTTTTTTGGATCCATATGTTTTGTTATAGCTGAACTAAAGGTACTTATCACCTGGTGAGTCCCAGAAAAAAAATGATAAAAGTATATATTAGGACAGTACGTCCCACATCTTCAGTACCCTTTAACTTCCTCACTTTTCATAATCATGTTCTCACTCACACGTGTGCCTATAAACACACACACACAAGAGCAGCCAAAAGAGCAGGTATAGGAACTTGTGACTGTGAAACTCGGTCACTGCAGGATTTTCTTTGATAGAGGGTTTGTATCAGTTATTGTCATTTACTTGTAATCCTTGGTTTCGTATCCATCAGAACAAAAATCAAGCATCAGATTGGTTTAAAAGAAAAAAGTGAGCCATCTCAGAATGTTTTATCATAGCACTCTGGATTTTAACTAACTTGTTTTCTTACTAATGACTCTTTGTTTTCTTCTTGATGCATCCATAGTTTCTGAACAGACATTACAGTCAGGTACAGTATAGAAAAATCAATCTGTAAATAAAAACATTTTTATTTTCTAAAGTTGATATTGTATACAAGTAAAGAGATATAGTTGGAAACTTGCATTTTGTCCTCAAAATCTAACAAATAATTGATATTTTTTACTCTGAGAAAAACGTTTTAAGTTTGCAGAAATTAATTATTGCATTTAGAAGGAAATATACAGTGCTCTTTATGTTCCTATATCAAAGGTTTAATTACATTTAAAAATAACAACTAGTTTTCATTTCACTTTTATACTTCTTTGAACAAACATTATTAATTTTATACCTTATTCTTAATTAGCTACTGGGAAAAACCTAGGTATCCACTTTAGATTAGTTTCAGAGTATATTTGTGCTATATGCAACTACTCAGTAGAGTTTCTTATGTGTAGTATATAAGAAAGCATTGTCTCATTTTATTATTTTGTGGATGGTATATTTTCTGAAACTACAGACCACCACTAAAATATGATCTGAAAGCTTTTAATTTTAAAAAGCACCTAGGCGACTAACAAAATCAGAAGAGTTAAATGTGTAAAATATAAAAGTTACTGAGAGGTGGTAGTACACAGTTGTAGTTCCACTTACTCAGGAGGCTGAAGCAGGAGGATTGCAGGTCCAAGTCCAGCCTGGGCAACTTAGCAAAATCCTGCCTCAAAATAAGAAGGGTTGAAACCTAGCATGTGGGGCTGGGGATTTAGCTCAGCGGCAAAAGCGCCAGCCTGGCAAGCTCAAGGTCATGAGTTCGGTTCTCGGTACCAGAGAAAAACAAAAAAAAAAAAAACAAGGATGAATTTGTGACTAAAGGAACAAAACTCTTGACAGAAGTTTAACTGAAAATGACATCTTTTCTTCCCCTTCTTAAAATTTGATATCATTTATGATTTGTTTGCTTAGTTATTGTTCTGAATCTTTTGAGAGGATACTGGTTATACATATTTGTCTTAGAAGAGCAGGAAAGGGAGCACTTGGCTATGTTCTTATGTTATGTAATGAATACAATTTTCTGAAATGAGACAGTGTTAGTGGTGGACATGTGTTTGAGCACAGACTCATCTTTAAGCGCACAAAGTTTCCAATGAGTTAAGAATAGAACAGGAATATATATGTATATGTGTATATATATATAAAACCTTTTATCCCATTAAAAAACCATTTGACTTTATTAACTCATACAGTCAGGCCAACTGTTTTTGTTCACTCTGTTCTTTACTATCCTGCCAAGTATTTTAAGCTGTTTGATCATAGAACTTATATCTTCACATAGAACAGAATATAGAAGAAACTGTTTTCATAGCATTATCCGTGACTTTAATTATAAAAACTAGTGCTACACCATAGTAATAGAAGACGGTTTTTATCTAGTTACAGTCAGCCAGACCAACAGGCGAGAACAAATAATCTGCTTAATAGTCTGCGTTTATTACCGCCCACACCCTCTGCGAGTAATTGAATAGCAAGAGGGTAAGAAATCTGCATAAATTCTCTTAGGAATCCTAATCAGCAGTTCTTTCTAGGGGGGTCTACAGGTCAAAACTGCACTCATAATACTAAAGTGTTACTTCTCCCCCTCTCATTTCCTCAGGAGACTGCTGTTTATTAATATCATAAAACAATGAATATCACAGTAAAGTAAGATGATATGGCAAAAAATGAAAGTAGATTTGATTTCTTCTTACCAATTAATTGCCAATTAAATATACATTCTATGGTTTAAGGTTGAGGTGCTGTTAAGGTTCTCTCCACTTTTAAGTGCAAGTGTGGAGTGTGGTTTAGAAGGGGGAAGAGATGGGTGGTAGACAACAGATATGCAAGAGAGAGACCAAAGATTCAAACTGTATCAGACATTTATCCATTCAACAGTTATGTATGGAGCGCTCACTTTGGACCAGGCACTCTTTTTGTTGCTAGGAATATTGCAATTAACAACCAAGACCAACATTTCAGCTCTCCTGGAGTTTCGGTTGTCAAAAGGAGATAGTTACAGGAAAAATAAATAAAACACAGGTTGAGTATCTCTTGTCTGAAATATTTGGGACCAGAAGGGATTCAGGTTTCAGAGGAGTTTTGGATTTTGGACATTTTCGTAGATTTTAGCTATTGAGCACCCTAATCTGACATTCAAAATGCTCCAAAATCTTTCTTAAACTTTCTAGGCATCATGTGGGTGCTGAAAAATTTTCAGGTTTCAGATTTTCAGATCAGAGGTGCTCAGCCTATGCAGTTTATAGGGAAAAATAAGTAAGAAGGGGATAATGGGAATTAGTGAAGTAGTCAGAGAAGGCCTCCCTGAAAAGTAAAGACCTGAAGGAGGTAGGGTGGAGTGCTGCAGGTACAGCCAGTAAAGGTCCGGTGGTAGGAGCAAGCTTGGTACGTCTTTCGGAACAGCAGGTAGACCACTGGATGGGCAGGGAGGGCAGAAGACGAGGGCAGAAAAAAGACAGATTATTTAGGGTCTTGTAGACCATTGTTCAGAATTTTGGCTTTTATTCTGAGTGAGATGGGAAGCAATTAGAAGTGACTTCATTTTTAGATATCTCATTATCTTCCATAATGTCTGTGTTTGTCAAGGAGCCATTCTTTATCAAGCTACTTAATCAGTAGCTAGAATCTTAAATGTAAATGTTCTTAAATGTTTTTATTTGGGGAAAAAAATTTATATTTTTATTAGCTTTATACAAATTGTGAAAATCAGTTGCTATATTCCTAAAAATGTGCAGTTCTTTATAGGTTATAAAACAGTGTACCATTTCATTGAAAAAAACTGTTCCGCATGTTTCATGTTGCTATAGAAATTTTGTAAGGCTCTTTTTAAAAAAATTTTTGGTATCATATTTGATTTTATTGACTTTCTTTCAAGTGTTGGTCGATTGCCCCTGCTGGCATTGCTGTCGAGGCTGTGCTTGTGCATGTAGCCCTATTTGTGCTAGTGCTGGTGATTGTGCTTCCCAGGCATGGTCTCTCAGTTAGGAGAATCAGTTTTCCTAAATGCCTTAACTCAGCTAAAATTCTGTTGTGTCTTGTTTCTGATTAGCCTCTTCAAAAGTACTAAAGAGCATGTGTGAGAATTTCTACAAGTATTCAAAGCCAAAGAAGATTCGAGTGTGTGTTGGGACCTGGAACGTGAATGGTGGGAAGCAGTTTCGCAGCATTGCTTTTAAGAACCAGACACTCACTGACTGGCTTCTTGATGCACCCAAGTTAGCCGGCATCCAGGAGTTTCAAGGTCAGCTTTTTATAACACAAGGCTAGTTAAAATCCTGACTGTAGTTTATTGATCTAAAAAATAAAAGTAGCACATCATAATATGCAGTAATTCGTATAACAAAGTTGGAGTTCTTTTATAAATGTGAAGGCCAGTATGTTCATAGATTGAATCAGTTAAAGTCTTAACCTCTTTTATTTCTAGACCTTTGTTTTCTGTTGGTTAAAAACACATAATGGCAAAATAAAAACCATATTTGATAGTTGATTCTTAGGAAATAGGGGTCCACAGGTAATCGGATATCTTCGAATGCAGCAATACACATAAGAAAAATTAGTTTTGTTTTGTTTTCTTTTAAATCAATCCCAACACAGGTTATTTTGTAATTGATAATTTTAATTTTTTTAAGGCTAGTATGTCCCATTTTATAATTATAGTCCTCTGTTTAGTTTCCCTGATAAGAAATGTTAGAAGGGCATGGTGGCATGTACCTATAATCACAGCACTCACAGGAAGCTGAGGCAGGAGGACTGCAATGAGTTTGAAGCCAGCCTAGGTTACACAGTCCAAGGCCAGCCTGAACTAGATAGCAAAACTTTGTCTCAAAACAAACAAAAAACTCAGGGTGGGGTATGAGCAGGCTTACAAAATTTGTGATACTTGTTGGTACCTGTAACTTAATGGTACCAGTTTATCCTTGTAAAAACTTGGTTGTCATTCAGTTTGGGTTCTCTGCCAAGCTGTTCAACCAGAACCAAACATTTTAGCTGAGGGTACTTTCATTATCATTTTGATTAAAAGCAGGAATTTAAGACCTTCGTTTTTTGCAAAACCAACTTTTTTTTAAGAAATAAAAGAAGGAAAACATATTAACAAACAGACATCCATTTACAAAATAGCATAAGAACAATATAAACAAAACAGAGTTACAGACAAAACTGTAGGAAATTAACCATGGTTGTTGTATTACTTTTGATATCTTAAAGTGGTTTCTCAGGAAAGCAAATAGAAACATACAAGATTGATCAAACAAGTAATCATTAACTGTTCCTTTCTGTAGAGCAATAGAAGAGAGTAGTGCAACTATGTTAGCTATCCTCTCTATATATACATACATAATTTCCCCTTCTTTCCCTTCTTTTTTCCCACACCCCATTTGCCCCGTACTTTTGAGCATTTTCCTTTCGTTTCACAATGTCTGTCATACCTCCTAGTTTTTATTTTCAAAACTAACTTTAATTCCTTTTAAAAGAATATATAATTACCAGCATTACATATGAAGGTTATGTGTATAAGAAATAGAATGATAGAGGAGATTTCAATCAGTACATCTTAGTCCTGGGCCTTCCCCCAGACTTTCTATTAAGATGCCCCTTTTAACTAAGATTAATCCAAGCTCCTGGAAGTAGGAGTAATAATAATAGTAATGAAATACTAATAGCTGACACTATCATTCTAAGCATTTTGCATTTTTAAATTATCCCTTATCCCATACCTGTTACACTGACTCTGTTATTAGAGTTCTGCAGATGAGGAAACTGAGATGCAGAAAGGGAAGTAACCTGCTCGTGGTCGTGCACAGTAGAAATGATCTCAAATTGGAGATAACATTTGAGAGGGATTTTTCATGTTCACATTTTGGAGACCACAAGCTTAATGTTTCTGGCAGGTTACTTAGGTTTTATAAAGCCTCAGTAAATAAAAGATAAAAATGATCTTAGAAGTTGTTTGTGTGAGATGATCTAGATCTATGCACATTATGGCAGTCAGTAAATGGGTCTTACTTCTCGGTGTTGATAGGATTTGTAGGCTTATTCGAGCTGTTTATCCTCATTTCTGTAAACCTGGGCCCCCTGAAGTGCTTCCAGGCTGCTTCTCTGGAACAGCTTCTGTTAGGGCCAGTATGTTCATAGAGTGAATCAGGTAAAGTCTTACCTCTTTTGTTTCTAGACCATTGTCTTCTGTTTGGAACACAGTGATGGTCTTCAAAAGATCAAGGTTGTGCTCTTCAAATTGGAATGTGGAAAATCCCTCCCAACTGTTATCTCTAGTTGGAGACCATTTCTTAGCCACTTTATTCCTTGTGCCCTTTTTGAATAATTTCTTTTACCTCTTCAATTTTGATTTTAGCCTTTAGAAAGTGACTTGTTGCTCTGCTGTCCATGATCCAAACTGTAGCAAGAACTCTTTCAAAATGATTTCTGAAAAGCACTTAGGGATCTTCAAGGATAACAATCTTAAGCAAATTTAAGGGATTTTAATAAAGAATAAAATTTAAATATTATGAGTTATTGCCTTTAATATATATTTGGTTAAACTCAATAAAAATGTATTTTTATGAGTTTTGTTGTTGTGTTGTATACGGTGGTGTTGCATTTAATTAAAGCTGTATTTAAAATTATTTCCTGGATGCTTAATTGTAGATAAAAGAAGTAAGCCAACTGATATATTTGCAATTGGTTTTGAAGAAATGGTAGAGTTGAATGCTGGAAACATTGTGAATGCAAGGTAAGCCGCCATATAACAGCCCTGGAAGTTTTTTATGTTGAGGAACATGGAGGATAGTAACTAAGACATTGTTAGGTAGATTGAGATGGTATTGGAAAAGGTGCTTTTTAAATTGTTAAATAGTAGTTCTCGAGTATTTTGGTCTGAAGATCTCTCTATTCTTAAAAATACTGAGAATGTCAAATAACTTTTGTTAGTGTTATATCTCTTAATATTTATTATGTTAGAAACTAAAATTGAAAGTTTTTAAAGATTTATGTAAAGATAACAATAGTAGCCAGGCATGGTGGCACACACCTATAATCTCAATATTCAGGGTGACTTAGGCAGGAGGATTGCCATGGGTTGAAAGCCAGCCTGGGCTACATGGTGAGTTCAAGGCCAGCCTGGGATACTATATTAACCAATATGATGCTTGGTATTGTATAAAAGATGTGTCAAAATCTGGAAGGTCTACATAACTCAGTGAACCCAGTAAACTTTTCCAAATAGCCAACACAAGATGATACTTAATAATGCAGTGGTAAAAGACGAAGGAACTTCAGTGTAAACAAAGCAAAAAAAGTTCATTGATACGGTTTCAGACTCCATTTTACAGATAACTGTTAAGACACTCGCCATTTGTTGAGTTCTGGTGTACAGTTAGAGAAGAAATTATCTGGAAAGGTCATTAAAATACTTTCTTTTCAAATAGGTATACTTTTTTTTGAGACATTGTCTTGCTGTGTACATATATAGTTCCTCATTTAGCAACTAATTCATTAATGACATAACTGCAGGAATAAAACCCTTTTATTAAATGAGGAATGTCTATATTGAAAAGATGGGGCTCAGAATTTGACTTTGATAAAATTAATACTGCAAGTACATGATGCGATCTAGTACAGTTTGGAGCCTAGCTTCAAGTGAAGGAAATCAACACTTTTGGCCATTGCGGATGGTACGAAAGTATCATCAGTGAAAATTTCAGTCAACACAGTGGAAAAGGCAGCGGTATGTTAGTACTGGGCAAATAATTTCAACTCTGTTGGTTTGGGAAATTCCCCAGGGATGCAGCCTCCAGACCATATAAAGACAACGATCCCTCTGCAGCCATATTACACATATAAATTATATGAGTGACACTTAAAGTGTTTTGTTTTAATATAATGTGTATGTTTTTAAATGTCAGTAGTTCTCAGTAGTTGTGACTTTTTAAAAAATTTCCAAAAGATAATTATGGACTGAAATACCATGGTACAGCCATCAATAATGCAATGGCAAGTGTTTTCTTGGCCAAAGTGAGTAACAATTCAATCAGGAAAGTAAAAAAGAAATCTGACTTCACTCATTTTGTTGTTAGAGTAACTTTCCTGAAAACTAAATATTTAGATCTCAATAGAATGTACTCTTACTGCTTCTGATACCAAACAGATTGGTTGTTTGTCTAAATAAAGTATAATCAAATTTTTCTTTAATATAGTAGAGATTATTCATTTATTTAACCAGTACCCATTGATCATAGACTCTTGGTAGTAAAGATACATGCTTCTGTGAATAAAATGGACAGAAATCCCTGCCTTTAGTCTGAGAATGTAGCTCAGTGGTAGAGCACTTGCCTGGCATGTGTGAGACCTTGGGTTCAATCTCAGCACCACAGAACAAACAGACCTCCCTTTGTGGGCTTTGTGTTCTAGTTGAAAGAGACAGTGAACAATAACTATAGTAAATAAATTATAGACTGTTAGAAAGTTACTGTGAAAAATAAATGACAGAAAGATGAAGTCTACCTTCAGGTAGACAGTGTTGGCAATTTTAAGTGGAATGATGAGAATTCTGTTTATTTAGAAGGTGACATGATGACTTGAGGAAAAGATGATGCTGTCGATTTCTTTCCCGAATCCGCCTTACAGTGGTGGGGTTACAGTAGGGAGGGAGTACATGTTTGGAGGTGATGTGGCATAATATTAGATGAATGTGAAGTCATATTCTGGTCACCATTTAAACTTACATGATCTGGAACAATGAGAAAAGACTGTTTTGTTTCATTTGGAAGTTTCTTAGCTCACTCTTACTACTGTGGGAATTCACAGATAAAGAAAAAGAATCAAGCGTTCATTCTTTCTTTTATGAACAGTATTTCAGAGGAATTGCCTTTGGGAAGCTGAAATTATAAGATCAGTATTTTGCACCTCCTAATGATATATGAGCTGAGCAGTGTTCATCAGCAGATGCAGAATCCTTAGGAGAGGGCATAATGAGAACTGTTAAGAGTCAGCACCCGAGCACCTGGCCATTTGTAACATTGCAGAGGTGCCCCTCTTGCCATGATGCGGTGAGAGGCGCACAACCACCCCGGAGGTATTCTCACCACTGTAAACACATAAATAAAATCAAACACGTTTCTTAATCAACCTTCTGCAGCAAGCAGTTTAAAGGAAATAGTGAGGGATAGAGGGACAGGTTAAAGACACCACCTGGGCACATTAGCCAAATCCAGGCTGTTGAATATTTTATAGGCCAATAGCCCAGTTTCTTAAAAAATAAATAAATAAATGAAAAAGGCATTGTAGGTGGGGTAGTTAGTAGGGTTGGTGAAGGCTTCAAAAGTATAAGCAAAGGCATTGTGTGGGCCATGTTTGACCCCTGTTGTAAAGAAACAAACCAGCCAGAGGAAGACACTTTTTATTTCTTTTTTCAGAGAAGACTTTTTTTAGATAATTCAGGAAATTGAAATATGAACTCTTAGGCAGTATTAAGGAATTGTTAATATTTGTGATAATGACATTGTGGTTATGTAAAAGTAAAAATATCCCATTACATTAGAGATGCTTTTCACAGTACTTACAGGCAAAATGGTGTCTGTTTTAGATTTGAACTTAAAATAGTCTAGGTTTATCAAAAAAGTATGAGGAGGGATGTTAAAAAGATTGGCAGTCGAAGTACCAAAAAGAGAAAATTAGAAAAGTAGATATAGTGAAAGATTGGCAGAATGTGTATTATGTTGAAGCCATTCATGCATATATGATGGTTTTGTCATTGGCTAGTGTGGGTCCTTGCTTTAGTGACAATGGAAATAAAAACTAACTGTGACAGTATGATTTACATATAAAAGCTTTAGTTGTAAAGTAAGAGAGAAGATTGGAACGGACTCCAGCTTCAGTAGTCGCTGGAGCGGGCACAGGATGAGGAGTGTCAGATTGGCCCACCCCTCCACAAAAGCAGGGCAGCTTTGAAGGATTAGCTGAGGTGAGCCAAGGTCTGCCTGATCATTATCTCAGTCCTGGTTTCTTACCTCTGAAGAAATTCACTTGAGGGGCGACTCTGTTCCCATGAAGTGACTGTCTCTGTTTGCCAATGGTTTCAGTCATATGAGACTGTGTTTTTCCTGGGACCTGGGGTAACTCCAGATCAGTGTCTGGAGACGTCTGAGCATTGCACTGAAAGAGAGGTCTAGAACTGGATTTTGTGAAAAGCTAGTAATCAGATGTCCCTGTGAATCTTGAAATTTACTTTAGTTACTTTTATCATAGTCTCCTGTGCCTTGAACAAGGATGAGATAGGCTAAGTAAATCTAGGGCTAGTAAACTTGGTGCTGTTGACATTCCCTAAATGAGTAACATAACCCTAACGTAATAAAAGATACAGAAGTGAAGATCAAGCTTTGTTTCACTTACTGGGCATTTTCAGCCCAAGAGAACAGTCACAGTTTTAGCAAAAACCACTTCTAAGTCCCTGACTGCCTCAGAAGAAAACACAAATTAGGTTTCTGATAAGTAATGGTTTAAGGGCCCAGGAGTTTCTTTTGTCCATTGTTCCTATAGTAGTCTCTGACTGTGTCCATTTGCTTTATCTTTCTTTGTGTGTATATTTAAATTTTTCCATAGTGATTTTTTTAAAAGACATAAATTATAATTCAGAAAAATAAGAAAGCTGAGGAGGGTCATCTGGAGGCACGTACTTCTTCGTGACCCTAATGAATACATACACAAAAGTAAAGTGCACCAGCTTGAGATCACTTGCCTTGTGATTGTCTTTAATAAGTCAGCTGATGTTTTTGTTGGTAAAGGAATGGTAGATTAGACTTTGAAGTGCAGTGTTCTTTTGGCTAAATTTCAAGTGTTTCTTTTTAAAGGAAACAGACAAAAACAATCTGCATAAAGATTTCAGAGCCTTAAGTGTGGGTAGATAGAAGCATGAGAACTTTGTAAAGATCTCTTCTTTAATATTTTCTGGTAGCACAACAAATCAGAAGCTGTGGGCTGTGGAGCTTCAGAAGACAATCTCGAGAGACAACAAGTACGTGCTGCTGGCTTCCGAGCAGTTGGTGGGCGTCTGTCTGTTTGTTTTTATCAGGCCGCAGCATGCTCCGTTCATCAGGTCAGTAAACAGAACACTCTCCTAAAGCTACTTCCTACCGTTAAAATAACAAGGAAAAGGCCTAGAATATTTGTTGTTTCAGAGTTCTTGTGTTAACATGTGTCTTTGATGCAAGTCACTGATAGCTTCTCTGTACTATTTCACAGGGCTGTGCTCAGAGTACCATGTGCTGTGTAGTTACGATTCTGTAATGTATAGTCCATGTGCCATGTAGTTATATGCTTATGTAATGGATAGTCCTCTAATGTCCTGTGCACACGAAACGTTTGAAATGTCAAGTCCTCCATTTAGAATTCTCTGTTTCAAGGGATGTGGCGGTTGATACTGTGAAGACTGGGATGGGAGGTGCGACTGGAAATAAGGGAGCAGTTGCCATCCGAATGCTCTTCCACACCACCAGCCTCTGCTTCGTCTGTAGCCACTTTGCTGCAGGACAGTCACAAGTCAAAGAAAGAAATGAAGATTTCATAGAAATAGCACGAAAATTGAGCTTTCCCATGGTAAACTTCTGCTGCTTGTTGGCTTTTTTTTTTAATGCCTTATTCTTTTTTTATTTTAAAAAATAAAAGAAAGAAAACATATTAACAGACATCTATTTACAAAATAGCATAAGACCAGTACAAACAAAACAGAGTTACAGACAGAGTTGTAGGAAATTAACCATGGTTGTTGTATTACTTATTGATATCTTCAAAGTGGTTTCTCAGGAAAGCAAATAGAGACATACAAGATTGATCAAACAAGTAATCATTAACTGTTCCTTTCTGTAGAGCACTAGAAGAGAGTAGTACAACTATGTTAGCTATCCTGTATATACATACTTACATAATTTCCCCTTCTTTCCCTTCTCTTCTCCCACACCCCGGTTGCCCTTTACTTTTGAGCATTTTCCTTTCATTTCACAATGTCTATCATACCTCCTAGTTTTTATTCACTCTTTCAGGTCTTACACTAGCGAGACAATACGATGCTTACACATGCAGGTCCAATCCATTTCACTTATGAGTATGGTCTATAGTTGTGACCATTTACCTATAAAAGCCTTGAGTTTTTCTTTCTTTATAGCTGAATAATATTCCATTATATAAAAGTACCACAATTTTAATGCTTTATTCTTGAAGATAAAGCTTTGAAATGTGCTTTATCCTCAATTCTCTATTAGGTTTTTGAAATTTTAAGGTCATTCTTAGAAACAGCATCAGTATTCACCTAAATAGATATTTTGCATGTTATTACTACTGGGTTAAAGAAACAGGCCTCAGTTCTATATATGAGGCAAGAAGCAATGTAAAAACATTTTTAAAAATTATTTTGAATTTAAAATTCCATCTCTTTGTTTCCAGGGTAGGTTGTTGTTTTCCCATGACTATGTGTTTTGGTGCGGTGACTTCAACTATCGAATCGATCTCCCTAATGAAGAAGTTAAAGAGCTCATAAGGCAGCAAAATTGGGATTCCCTTATAGCAGGAGATCAACTTATCAATCAGAAGAACGCTGGACAGGTATATACATACTTGAGAAGAGTATACACTGAGAAGGAGACTTTGAGTTGACTTTGCTTCATTTTATAAAAATTTCTTGAAGGCCATTTATACTTAAATTTATATAGATAAACAGATAAAGAATTTTCCTAAGAGAGATAGAGAAAGAAGGAAAGGAAAACTTACATGAGGAAGAAAAATATGTTACGTATCTGTAAGATTCATTTTCAAATAGAAGAATGTATTTTCTGGAGAGAGGAGTAATAGTTTAGAGTCTTAGTTTCTAGGACTGCTGATTTTTAGTTTTGAGACCCTGCCTGGGACAGTATACTTTGTTGCTGTTTTTTTCTTTATTTTTCCTATGTCATCCACCTTCTTGAAACTTATTTTTTTGATGTATGATCACAAGATTTTAGGAGTATTTATTTCAAAAATAAGTAGAAGAGGTTATAGGCCACTTGGTGCAATATCTGGGGGTCGACAGACTTGAATTCTTACACTCTGCATACCACTTAACCTTCTTAGGTTTCAGCTCCTCATATGAGAATAAGATATGAGGCTCTATGATTTCCCAAATCCCATACAGTTCTAAATGTCTGTCATAGCTCAAGGACAAGGAGTTCCCTTATTCACGTTTTCATAGTTTGCTGTACACGTTCACGACAAGGCTGTATACACGAGTGCCCCATTGGCTTCACTACCCAGTGGAATTGTCCCATGCTGCCCAATAGGACAGTCATGCATATGCCACCAGTGGTTCAAGCCAGTGGGAACAAGTAAATTGAAGGTCGGTGATATGAAAATGGCCATATCCTGAGTGTTTTTTTTAAAGCTTTACTTCATTCAGCCGAAAGCATTTATAGATGGAGCCAAATTTCAACTCAGAGTATCCCACACATAGTAACATTTAATGAATAGCTGCCTAAAAACATAACTTTTATGCATTTTGGAATAACTTACTTTGTATATGTTTATTTTAGATTTTTAGAGGATTTCTAGAGGGAAAAGTTACTTTTGCTCCAACCTATAAATATGACTTGTTTTCTGATGACTATGACACCAGTGAGAAGTGTCGCACCCCTGCATGGACTGACCGTGTCCTCTGGAGAAGGAGAAAGTGGCCTTTTGATAGATCAGGTTGGGAAATTAACTCTATTTAAATGAATTAATGAGGATTTTGTGAGGACAAAGGGAATGATAAAAGTATCAAGTAGGAAGAGAGCTATTTTATTCAAAAAAAGGTTTATCTGGAGTATAGTACAATTTAAATATAATTTAATTATATTTATCAATTTAATTTAATTACCAATAAATTGGTAAATATACCAACTTAAATATAAGGTATAGTATAGTTTAAATATAAGTGCAATATATAGTACAATATATTATACTATATACAGTACAATTTAAATGTAATTTTTGGAATATTTTATTTCAGTATTTTCTTTCCGTGAAATATAATATTTTTGTGGAGTTTTCAATTGAATGTTAATTCTGGTTTTTCATTTGAGTTACTAAAGTGGTTTGCATGTATTTTGTTTGGTTGGTTTTTTTTTTTGGTTTGATTTTTTCTGGTACCAGGAATCGAACTCACGACCTTGCACTTGTCAGGCAGGTGCTGTGCCACTGAGCTAAATCCCCAGCCCCTGGTTTGCATGTATTTTGAACTACCACTTATCTGCTGAATTATTTGTGAGACACTATTTGGTTACAGGCCTCTAAGTAACCTTAATAGTATGACATCTTAGTTTGTACTAAGTAAGGAATAAAATAAGTGAAAATAGTAACTAAGTAAAATAGTAAAGAATTTTGTTTCCCGAAAGATTTGCTCAGTTGAAGAAGCGTATGGATGTCCTGCCTGTTAAAAGCTTGTTGCATATCTCACATCCCAGCCTCAGATCACTGACGCTGAGGAAAGAGCTTACCTCTTCATTCCACATGACGCTTCCTTCTCATATGCTCTTGCACTTTTTGTTGTTCTGATTGCAGCTGAAGACTTAGATCTTCTAAATGCTAGCTTTCAAGATGAAAGCAAGATCCTCTACACATGGACTCCTGGCATTTTGCTGCACTATGGAAGAGCTGAGCTGAAGACTTCTGACCATAGGTTGAAACAGTCTGCGTATTTTTCATGGTGCTTGAAGTTTGAAATACATCCTTTTTAAAGCATTCTAACTCATCTCTCTTCCTTTATGCCTTAAGGCCTGTCGTTGCCCTGATTGATATTGATATATTTGAAGTTGAAGCTGAAGAGAGGCAGAACATTTACAAAGAAGTGATTGCAGTTCAGGGTCCCCCAGATGGTACAGTGTTGGTCTCAATCAAAAGTTCTTCACAAGAAAATAACTTCTTTGATGATGGCTTGATTGATGAGCTTCTGCAGCAGTTTGCAAATTTTGGTGAAGTTATACTCATAAGGTAAGCAAAATATTTTCTATCCTAAAATAACTCATGATTCATAAATAATAGCTTCTATATTAGAAATCACCTGATTTAGTGTTTGAATAGTGTAAGAGGATTTCTGTTCCTAAACCAAAGGAATATCGTACTATAGGCATATTCAGAGAGCTGCTAGACTTTAAAACTGAATTCTGTACTTGTAAAGCTTAAGTTGAATAATGAAACTTTTATGTAAACAATTGAAGACAAAACTATGTGCAAGTTTCGAGAGACGACCTCTCAAAACTCCCATACAATGGAACATATTTTTAAAAAGCCTAAGCCGGGCATGGTGGTACACGCCTGTAATCCCAGCACTTGGGAGGCAGAGGGAAGAGGATCCTTGTGAGTTCGAGACCAGCCTGGGCTACAAAGTGAGCTCAAGGCCAGCCTGAACTGCATAGCAAAACCTTGTCTCAAAAAGACAAAAAAAGAAAAGGAAAAGAAAAGAAAAAAAATAAAAAGCCTATAACAAAATGAAGCTGTGATTGATAATTTTGTTTTTTTAAGGAGAGATAAAAGTAAAGTAGAGGTACTTTTCCTCTCTTGATTTAAGACATTTGACATTTAAAGTACTAATAAGTAAGTTCAATTTCCAGCTAGCAGAAACATGATCAGTTGTGAGGTGTCGTCCATTCCCATCATGTTTTCCTCATTGATTTACCCATCTACCTTTTGTGGAAGCAGTTGCCTTTTTCCTTGCTCTAAAAATGTTCTCTTTTATGTGTAGAACAATTCTGAGACACTTAATGGTGTGTATGTATTTGAATTCCACAGGGAGAGAAGTGCTGTTATTTTTGTGTTATTTGCCTTTTAAGCTATGTTTTATATGTGCTTGGTGGGCAAATTTCTGTTGTAGGTGCCATGGAAGAGCAGAGGAGAATTTGAAGATGTGGCTCCCTCTTGTAACTTAGTTGGGAAGATCAGCATAGTGTCTTCCCCAGGTTCTAAACGGTGCAGACCACAGACTTAAGATGGTGAGGTTTCTGTAGAGTAAATGTCATGTCCAAGACACCTCAGGCCCTTTCACAGAGTAACAGAGCCAGTGGGGAGGAAATTATATTTAAACTTCTTGCAAATCTTTTGATGATGATCTATCTTAAACCTTTAAAAGAAACAAAACAAAAAACTTCAAAAATTTTAAGGTTCTAGGAAGTACATAGTGAGATCTCTCAGGTTTACAGATGACAGTAAGCTTTGCCAAGAACAGAAATGCCAAACAACCCACAACATCTTGTGGACTGTGTGAGTGGGCACAAGGGTAGCAGATAAATGTCTTCGTAGCAAATGTAAAATACTGCACAGAGCTGGGAAGAATTCAGATTGTTTAAAGGATAAAAGACTGAAAATAGAAAGAGACCTGTCTGTTTTTCTGTCCCACTGGATTCTTCTAGCTCAAAACTGGAGCTACAAGTTTTACTCACAACGCTATAATCATTAGGAGAGTTATTGGTAAGAAAATATGTATTACTGTAATATAAAACTGTCAGCTGTCTGCACACCTAGAATGTGCTGATTATTATACCCTATGATAACCAGGCTGACAAAGAAAAAGCAGACAATGAAATTAAACAAGGAGAGACTACTACAAGCAGTAAAATGGGATTATTGCCTTTTGGTTTAGAATAATACAACCATTAAGAAGTTACCAAAGTCTGTGTACTCCTTTGTATTTAAATAAGAGTTCCCTAAAAATGTACAAGTATAGATGCACTGAGATACTTACATGAGGAGAAAATCTAGAATTTTTTACCATAGTAAAAGTAAGAAGAAAATGCAATTTCCAAAAGGTTCTAAGTAAATCCATGGATGTAAGAATCAGAATCCCCTGTTAAAGTTAGAAGGGCACATTGATAACTGAGCCTAAGGACCAAGAGATTAGTGCTGCCCTAGGATTACAAATGCTTTGGTACCACGGTCAAAGAACAGATAATGTCTTGAATTCGGGGGGTCTGGTGCAGCCTTGTAAGTTATTAAAACCTTTGGATCGGGGTAATCCTCTATTACCAGCAACTGGAGAAAGACACTTTCATGGTGTTTAGATAAGAAAGGTGTTCCTGACAGCATCCTGCAGTTTCTTAACTTTATGCCAAAGACACTGAATCAGTTACCTTGGTCATGTTTGGAGTGATTATGAAAACTATACAACACCTTGATTTCAAAAGGGTAAAGTACTTGTGTACACATTCCTCTTAAGATCCATAATCGGTACTTCTGAATCCTGGAGAGGGGCAAGAGGGAGGGGGAGAGAGAGAGAGAGAGAATACTGTATATTTTCCCTGTACAGTTGGGAGTGGTTCAACTTGCAAAACTATTTCTGTAAATAAGACTGAGAGCTTGTTTTGCAGTCTTTTGTGTAATAACCTTATTACATATCTATCAGTGGCCGTCTTCAGAACGTGTTCTTATGTCTTATTTATTTATTTTGCCTTTTGGGGGGGTTCTTATTTCAAACTTACAAACTTAGAATCATAGCAAGGACCATTTGAGAACCAAACAGTAAAAATTGTCAGTGACTAAGAACAAAGCCCACAAGCTAAGGCTCCTTGAGATGACCTGGGTCTCTTTTGTTGTTGTCATTTTTGGTTTTATGATTGTTTTGTTTGTTTTCTTTTTTTTTTTTACTGACAACTTCCTGTGATCTTTTTGATCAAACAAAATGTCCTTCGGGGAAGTCAGAGAGATTCTGAAAATACATAGTGCAGAGACGCTGAAAATACATAGTGCTGGACATGGGGTCAGAAGGCTGTGAGAAAGGCCTGCGGTTCCTGAGTGGAGTGAAGCAGACTGGAATACCGCTGGGGGAAGAGCCCTGTCTCTGGGTCTCTGGCCGCTCCCTTCCTCTCTGCTTCCTGGCCTCCGTAGGCTCGGGCCCCTGTTAACCAGTAATCACCGGACTAGTTTCTGGGCTAGGTCTATCTAACAAATTAATTACATTTTCAAACTTGTTTTTCTTAAAGATTTGTGGAAGATAAAATGTGGGTTACATTTTTGGAAGGAAGCTCTGCCTTGAGTGTTCTGAGCCTAAATGGTAAAGAGGTAAGATGGATTTGTTGATTCTAAACCATTCTAAAATTGTCTGATATTACATTTTTATAGGTACACAGCAGCAAGAATGTATAAATGTCTTTTCAGTCAAATTAATGTTACTTTTGTGCTTCCATAGAGAGAGTAACCACTGATATAGACTAGAAAAGTTTACCTCCTAATTTGATTTCTGTTATTTGTAATGTGTAATGCTTTAAAATTTAACTAAGGGTAGATATTCTAGCTTATATGTATAGTACAAAAGATTTCTATCAAATGAACAAAATGCTTTATTTATAAGGAAACAAGAAAGTTGTTCATGACTCCTAGGAATTTATTTTGTTGGCTACATTCTTGGTCTGCGTTACCTTTTTCAAACCTTGGTAAAATAATTACCATAGATAACAAACACATCACATTGAGACACACAGATACAACTTTTCAGGCTTATCCTGTTATTCCCTAGGATAAAGTTTTAAATAGAAATTCACTGTGTCAAAGGATATAGATATACAGTTTTACATTTTGATTCTTTTTGCCAAATTGCCCTTCAGAAAGATTTTGTCAGGTTATACTGTACCTGGGATTACCTTTTTCTAACATCCTAATTGATACTGGATTTTTTTTTTTACTTTGACGATCTGAAAGTGAGAAGTAGTATATCATTCCTGCTTTAAGATTTTGATTGCTAAAAGTTGAGTCTTTTTGTTTATTGGTTACTTGTACTTCTCTGACTAGCTGTGTCTTTAGCCTCCGTGTGTGTGTGGGGGGGGGGTAATGAACCTAGGGCCTTACACATGCCAGGCAATTATTCCACCACTGAGCCCCACCCATCTTTCCACTGTGGAGTTAGTCTTTTGACGCTCCCTTTAGGTTGCAGATATTAATTCCTTGTCATATATACTGCAAATATTTTTCTTACAACTGTTGTATTTTAATGACATGAAAATTACTAATTTTTAAGTGTAATTTTAGGTTTGGTTTCTTAAGCATATCCTTATGCCATGACAATATAAATATTAAAAGAGCAGCTCTCAGTTTGACATTATATGTCAGCTCTTTTTCCCACTGGAGTGGTTTTTTTGTTTTCCTTGGTAATTTACTTTATTTCTTTTTTTTTTTTTTTTTGGTTTTTCTCCGGTATCAGGAACCAAACTCACGACCTTGCGCTTGCCAGGCAGGCGCTTTTTGCCGCTGAGCTAAATCCCCAGCCCCGTACTTTATTTCTTTTCCTTCTTTCCTACTCTGCCCCTCACCCTCAAGTCTAGGCTTTTATACCATAATTACTCCCTCCTGGCATCTCAAAAGATTTTCTATAGAAATTGTATTTGTGGAAAATACGACATACTATTTAATTGAAATTTTATATTTGTTTTATCAATTAGCTATTGAATCGAACTGTAACTATCACTTTAAAAAGTCCAGACTGGATCAAAAATTTGGAAGAAGAAATGAGTTTAGAGAAAATCAGTGTCACGTTGCCTTCATCAACAAGCTCTACCCTGCTTGGTGAAGATGCTGAGGTTGCAGCAGATTTTGACATGGAAGGTTTGTTTGTTGACTATGTTTGCTTTTGTAGTACTAGGGAAGTGTCCCTCCCATCAGTAAAGTCTTAGTATCCAAATTTATCCCTCTCCTTCTTCTTGGGTTACACATACAATGTTAACTAGGATTGATGTGCCAGCTGCACGCCAGTAGCCCTTCTAGTCAACCCAGCATCAGGTTGCTCCAAGATAATAGGTATCTTTATGTTTTCCATAAGAGTGTGTATACTATTTCTAGCTTTATACATGTAACTTGTTTATACACAACTACATGCTTTATCCATGTGTTAGTTTAATTCGTGTATCTGAACCCCTGAAAGCCCTTCTAAGGGGAGAAAAATCTCTGAGCAAGTTGAAATGGTGGCATCTTTGATATCCTTGGTGTTCCTTAGGTGATGTCGATGATTACAGTGTCGAAGTGGAGGAACTTCTTCCTCAGCATCTGCAGCCGTCCTCAAGTTCTGGCCTCGGCACTTCCCCAAGCTCTTCACCCCGGACAAGTCCCTGCCAGTCACCTACAATAGCAGAGGCTCCTGTACCTTCCCTTCCCATCAGACCAAGTCGAGCTCCATCGAGAACCCCAGGGCCTCCAAGTTCACAGAGTGTGTATCGTGCTTGAAAGCTTGATATGACATTTTCTAGCCAGTGGGCTTGACTCCAGAGAGCCAGTGTTGCTGAGCTTGGGGGCGCGTATGTGGAGCACCCTGGCCACAGAAGGGGAGAAGGTGCAGATGATGAGCTGTCAGTGCAGAGGATACTCGGTGACCCCGCTGCCACTAGATGGGAGGTTTTCTTAATCCGTTTTCTGTGTCGTTAGGATTGTCTGTGTCTTCCAGTTGACAGTTTTCTATGGATAAGGTAGCATGCGTAAGTATTAGGGCTTTTCTTTGTCTTTCTGTCTACTGGCCAGCAGACTGCACCTGACTTAAACCAAGCCCATGCCTTCTTGATAGGGCCTCTCAGTAAATGAGCTTTCAGCAGAGGGCCCAGGTACAGAGTCCGATAGAGGTAGCATCCGTGGGGCCCTGGTAGGTGGCTTTTGTTATTTCTACTGAAAGTGTATGCCATTTTTCTGCACGGGTGAACACATTCTAAAATCCAACAACATGGAATGTTTATTATTGATATATGTAGAGTACATTCTTTTCTGCCAGCACTCCCTTGGCGACTGATCTCCTTACCTACTGGCCTTGTTTAGGTTCTCCTGTTGACGCTCAGCCAGCAGCCCAGCCCCAGCATAAGGAGCCTTCCCAGACCTTGGAGCCCAAGCGGCCACCCCCACCCCGGCCGGTGGCTCCTCCCACGCGCCCCGCGCCCCCGCAGAGACCACCTCCGCCTTCGGGTGAGCCCACTCTTTCCATTGTGCCAGACCCAGTTTCTCCTTCACTTTATTTTAAAATGTTCCACATGTTTTCATATCACTAGCTTCTAGATCTGTTGGTTTGTTTGGGCTTTTTAAATCACTGTTGCTACTTTCTCATGTTTTCTCAAAGGACATGATAGGTATGACCAGACAGGTAAAATGTATTTAATGGGTAGGTTTCTCGTAGCTGCCTTCCTACGAGTGTGCAGGAATGGTTCATTTTAGTTTCGCTCATTTGATGGAGTTGGGCATGTATACTGTTCTTGGCTGAAACTAGGTTTAATTTTTTTTTTAATCCTCATTTCTGGCTTCATAAAATCATTAAAATTTACTTATTTTTATAAAGTTTATGATTAGAAGTAAAGAGCATGCATATTTAATATGTTTTATATGTTATTTTAAAATATGGTTATAGTGTTACTTCAGTTTTTATGAATATATGTTTTTTCTAATATCTAGATATTTACGTTTCATTCCAACATGATATTTGTTACCATGACTACTGTAGAAAATCTTGACATTTAATTCTTTATTTAATGTCATTTCCTTTCTGCTGCGTATTTTCTTGTGAACTATAAGGGGCTAGGAGTCCTGCACCTGCTAGAAAGGAATTTGGAGGTAACCATTTACATTTTTATCATGTCTGAGTCTTGGTGCACTAATTTTTTCCAGTTTGATCTCTACAACTAAGAGACATTTTAGGTTTAGGTTTGTTTGATGCAAATTAAGATAAGTAACATTTATACTCCAAGTTAAGAATTATCCCTAAGCTCCTGTTATATTTCTCTTAAATAAAAGTCTAGAGGGGCTGGGGATTTAGCTCAGCGGCAAAGCGCCTGCCTGGCAAGCGCAAGGTCGTGAGTTCAGTTCCCGGTACCAGAGAAAAACCAAAAAAAAAAAAACAAAAACAAAATAAAAGTCTAGAGCTTAGTTTTATTTGTGAATACAAGTAATGAGAGCTTCTGTCTTCCAGGAAGACATGATTGAATATGCTTTTTTTTTTTTTTTTACAAATATAGTCAATCAGGTCACAAAGATTTAGTTCCCGCGAGTCATACTAATTTCAAAAGAGTTTTGGATATACTGGATACAGAACATTTCTGAAGTATTTGAGTAGTAATTCTCTAGTACTTTCCTTTTTTAGTGGAAAAGTTTTTAGAGTAGCAAAGTTTCCAGGAATGTAATTTAAACTTACAGTAATCATCTGAAATGTATCTTCTATTTTGTATTTATTATAACTTGTTATAAAACCCCTGCCTTATTTATTTAAGAACTCTATGATTTTCTTTTCCATACAGAAACTTTTATTCTAAAATGGATCACATCTTTTTAAAATGTGTAATTGATTTGATTGACATGAGACCCCCAGAGCCCCGCTGGAGAGATACATTTGACAAATTTGTTTAATCTGTTTCTCTGGGATGGGGAAGGTTGTCAGAGTTCCCCAGGAGAGCTTGTACTAATCCACTTTTAACATTATTCAGGCACTCTGTGCATGTGTCGTTGGTCTAATTTCTATTCTAGCTGCCTAATGACATGAGTTCAGATCCATTTACCACAGACTGACTTTGTATATAGATTTCCATGACTTTGTATAATCAGACTAGCTGAATTATTTCAGCATCAAAGCTTCCATGAAGTACTGCCTGATGATCATTTTTCCATTGATCTACAGAAACCATCAATATTTCCCATCCAAACTCTTTTACTTATATTTCCATGATAAATTCTATTTACCTTCTGCTTTAATTAGAAACCAATCTATAGAAAATAAATTTTAAAATAATTTTGTGGAAAGTTGAATTATATTAGCAATCTAGTAACTTTTTAAACACCTTAATTTTAAAAATTACTTCTCTTCATAATTCTTTTGTGGACACCGTTTGCCATATATTTTATTTTACTTCTTAATCAGTAATTCCTTTAAAACAGTAAGCTTGAAGAAAATGATTGTAATACTTTTAGAGTTTCTTGAAAATAATACATCAAAAAGTATCTTCTAAAACCAGTCACAGTGACCTACACCTGTAGCTACTCAGGAGGCCCAAGGCAGGAGGATTGCAAGTTTAAGACCTTCTCTCAAAATATAAAATTAAAAAGAAGCATAGGAGTAGTTCAGGGTTAGAGTGTTTGCCGCGCATGTGTGAGCCCCTGAGTTCAGTTACCAAAAAAGAAAAACATAGTCTCATGGAAATTTAAAATAAAACTAAAACTTCATTTGTGATTTTTTTTTTCCTTTGGAGAGTTAATTAGTACTTGTAGTATAAATATTAGAATTTGTAGTAGTGATATAACGCTAGCAATAAGGAATGAGGTGATCATAGAAGAAAGAAATTAAACCTTTTAATATTTCCTGTGCTTAGAATCTCAGATAAAAAAAATTGCCATCCCGCTTCAGTTTGAGGAGATGGAGGATTCAATTTGGGGCTTGGTCTAAAGTCACGTTGGTTTGTACTGATACCTTCAACAAGATTTAAAACAAAGAAGGCACTCTCGTGCAGAAGTAATTGTGTGCCTGCCTTTCTTCATTCTTTGCTGTGGGCCCTGAACAATATATAGCTTTTGTTCTTTCTCTAAAAAGGTATTGGAGCCCCTCCCAGCCCTGGGGTAGCTAGGAGAGAGATGGAAGGTAACAAGACTTCTGCGTTATAGAAATGGTTTTCTCCTTTGATTTCTAAATGTCAGCCACTCCCATGTTAAAAGGTGTACTAAATCTTTTTAGTCTCACTGTAAACATCTCCTCCCCCGCCTTAGTATACCGTATATTTTTCTGTCTTCATTCTTTTATGTGTGTGGTTTCTAATGGCTGTCAGTTTAGTTTCCTGAGACTCATACAGTATGTTGTTTGTACTGTTTCATAAATTTTCATGTATATTGAGGTTGTGAAACTACTGTTTAAGAAGAGTGCCTTCAGTTTTTTTCAGAATAAGTCAAATGTTTAGAAATGCCCTTTACTAATCTGAAGTTTTAAAAATTATTAAAAATTTGGCCCAAGAATAGAGTATTTGTGAGAAATTTCCGGTAACATAAGTTTTTCTGTGTATATTGGTACTGAGCTAGATTTGTTTAAAAGACCATTAAGACTAGAGGGCACTTGTGAATATTATAATTATTAAGGGGCTGATGTATTTCGTATAATGACCATACCTGAATTTCTTTTCAAAAAGAAAATAAATCTTACGATGCTGCTTGTTAGTCTTTCTGCTCCTTTTGTCCCAAAGAATTTGAGCCACATTTTAATATGGTTTTTTATAAGGTGACTATTTTATAAGATATGTACATTCATGTCTTCCTTTTTAATCGTATTTTGTTATAAAAATCAAAAAAATCTTATTGTAAAGTAACTGTTCACAATAATACTGCAGCATGAAGTCCTCTTAGCAGCTTCTTATGTAACTTGAAATCTCCAGCCCTCCCTGTTGCTCAGAGCCATTTGTGTCCCCACTCTGAGGAGCAGAAGTTACAGTGGTCACATCTCGTGACCATTCCCACAGCTGACCACATTTTTAGGGTTCATGGGGAGAGTTCTGTGAGGACTGTCGCCTGAAAGTGCCCCTGTGAGTGAGGCATCAGACTTGGGCTATCCTTGTCTCCCAAGAAGCTCCCTCTAAGTATTCTAGCTTTTCTCTCTTTGGAATATTTCATTCAGGACCAACAATGCCCTTCATCCTTACCCAAAGCTAAGTACTGTGATGTGTTATCATCTCAGGCCCCCGTTTCTGCTGAGAATGACACAGAATGACAAACTGATACTATGCAATACTGTTTTATTGCTTATTTATGGCTAATTTGTTTCCTTCCTGCTTCCAAGCACCCAAAAGCCCTGGAACAACACGGAAAGAAAATATAGGTAAAAACACTTAAATGTAGTTATTTTCAAAACTGAACCATGAAATAGACATTTGGAATATATGTAGCCAGTTTCTTGGATTTTCTATTTGTTTTTATTCTTTGTTTTAATACCTTAACATAGGATGCAATGTCTTTGTTCCAGGACGCAATCAGCCTTCACCTCAAGCAGGATTTGCAGGCCCAGGTCCTGCTGGACCCAGTATGGCCAGACCGGTAGGTGACACCAAGCCTGGGATCCATGGGGCTCTTGGTTCTAGGTTCCAGTTTGCTACTAATTAGTTTTATTACATGGGGGAAACATTTGATCTTTTAGTGTCTCAGCTTCCTCAGCTCTGAAAGGAGGGAATTGATGATCCCTATGGTACCTTTTTACCGCTAACATTATTTTACTGTTCTTCAAAATAACTGAGCTGTTACTTGTATAAAAATCAATACACTTTAAACAGTTATGATCACTAAATAAATATGTATCTCTCAGTATATGAGTACATTAACAGTAACTAATGTAGACATCAAGTTATCCTTCAATAGGAAGGATTTTAATTAGCAGAAAAAGTACAGTAGAGTTAGTGTACTAAAATTGGTTCTGAAGGTATTAGAAATAGGAAAGCAAATGGTTTAAACGATTTTTCCTCTGCTTTATAATCTGTAGCTTTTTGTATATTTATCATGTTTTGTTTAAACACATATTTTTTCTGTTATTTACCCAATGAAATTTTTCTCTGGGCTTATAACAGCCAGTCAAAAAGAGAGAGAAAGAGAAAATGGAAACCAATAATCAGTAACTTAAACCAGTCTGATACAGAGACCCAAATCTGAATACTGGGGAATTCAGAGCTATCACACTGCTGAAAATTAGGATTGCGAGAGCCTAAGAAACTACTTCTCATGAAGATAGACTTCCTTTTTGTGCATTTTCTGTTGTAGCTGTCTGTGTGGCAATGGAAGATCCTTTTCTTTGTGTAATATTACTCCCCAAATTGAAATTTCTGTAGCATATACCTGAAGATATCTATTACCTACTCTGTTTCAGAAAAGGGAAAGTTGCCACTCACTACCACGCTTACTCAAGAATTTTGTGTAATCCTGTAAGGGTAGGGAAGGAAAGTCAAGTTTTTTGTGAAGTTAAAAGTTCAGATTAATTTCTGCTTAAAATAATTATTGTGGGTTTGTGGAGCCTTGAGCCAACATATTAAAAGAGAAAAAAATATTTTTTACCAGTAGTGTTCTGGTATACTTTAGTTGGAATCTTAAGTTGTTCGGGAGTTTTATGTCGATATTTAAAAATGTAAGAGTGTGGTTTTTCTTAAGTCTCTTAGTTGCTCAGGCACAAATCTTTCCATCCCTTCATGCCTTTAAAATTGCCCCCTGTCCCACAACCAGGTACATGCGTATAATACTGCTACTTAGGAGGCTGAAACAGGAGGATCACCATGAGTTTGAGGCCAGCCTGGGCTACATGGCAAGTTCAAGCAGGTTCACGGCCTGGAAAATGTAGAAAGACCCTGTCTTAAAAAACCAAATTAAAGTTGTCTCTGTGTCTTCCTTGAAAGCAACATTGCATACGCCCAGGAGTCTTTGCCCTGCACCTCATCAGACTTGGGTCAGATCCTGGCTCATGATAAAAATAATACCTGCCTAAAATAGGAATGGTGAGATAATATCTGAAGGGTGTTTTTGAAAATTACATATCTATACAGTACTTAATAGTTCCTCTACACAGTAACCAGCCAGAAGTAAAAAGGAAGATTTTAAAATTTACCACCATATGGCTCCAAATAGAAAGCAATTAAAATGTCAAGCTGGGGAATACGCCAGGGAGGAGAGTAAATGAAATGCAAAAGCAGATATTTCACAGGATCTGGCATGTTGAAAACAAGTGTCTTGGGCTGGGGATTTAGCTCAGCGGCACAGCGCCTGCCTGGCAAGCGCGAGGTCATGAGTTCGATTCCCGGTACTGGAAAAACAAACAAACAAACAAAAAGAGAAAACAAATGTCTCAAGTGTGGCGTTCCCATTTCAGACAATTCCACCCCGGGCTGGAGTTATCAGCGCCCCACAGAGCCATGCTCGGGCATCTGCTGGAAGACTGACTCCAGAAAGCCAAAGCAAGCCATCAGAGATGTCAAAAGGTACACACTGGATTACAGACACCACTTGGAGCTGGGTATAGTGGTGCGTGCCTGCTATCCCAGCACTCAGGAGGCTGAGGCAAGAGGATCGCTGTGACTTCAAGGCCAGCCTGGACTACATAGTCAGTTCAAGATAAACGTGGAGTACATAGCAAGACCCTGTCTCAAAAAAAAAAAGAAAAGAAAAAGAAAAGAAAATCAATCCCACTCAGGCTTTATATTTTTTCCTTTCCCTTTCTTTTTGCTTTTACCTTAAGTCATCTGCCACTTCCCACAAACAGTGTCCGAGTGGGAACACTTTCTCTTCTTTATCCCACAAGAAATGAGGCTGCTTCTTGGGGGGCAGGCAGCTAGAATCCTCCTAACATTTTATGGAAGAAAGAAAAACCGCAGTTCTCTGGAGTACAGTTAACCTCTGGCCATCCCTGTTTTTAGGCTCAGCTCTCCTTCCAGAACCACTGAAGCCTCAGGCTGCTTTTCCTGTGCCGCCGTCTCTGCCCCCTCCGGCTCAGAAGTTACAAGAGCCTCTTGTCCCCGTGGCAGCACCTACGCCGCAGCCCGGCCCCCAGCCAAATTTGGAAGCCCCGCCTCAGCCCCCGCCTCGGAGCAGGTCCTCCCAGAGCTTGCCTTCAGAATCTTCGCCGCCCCTGCAAGTAAGTCTCAGGGTTTGCTGTTGTCTTTGCCTGTGGCATGCACACTTGAAACACTTATTTTCATGATTAGCTTTTATGAGAAATAATGAACTTTAGTTTTCTTTTTGTTTGTGCCATTTGGTATTAATAGCATCTGAGACGTAATTTCAACAATGAGTATCTCAAACTGGTCACATAACATTTGGCTCTTTGAGGGTTTTGGGTTGTTGTTATGTGTTGCTTACATCAAAAATTCTCAGAGTAACCTGGGACCAGAGACCTTTGGGGCATTTTGAAGTGGTTTTTCATGTTGATGCTAAGTTTGTGACTTTTTAAAATATTTAAATTTAAAGATCATAGTTTACTTTAGATATTTAGAAAAGGTTAAGACAAACAGGAATAATTTACCTTTTTGTTCACAGTAATAAATTAGGCTTAGCTTTTACTTCCTGGAGAGAGATTAGATCATGGACATTAGCATGGCAGCTGATTTCCAATAAACAGAAAATAATCGTTAGTTCCTCTTGATGTGAGTAGTAGCTCTTTTCTGCCTAGGCATTCACTAGGTATTTCTAACGATCGCCGTCATTACTGGGTCACTTTAGATGGTTCGGGCTTGCAGCAGTAGTCTTGTCCAGCACAGTAAAAACCATCAGAACGGTGAGCTACCCCCTTAGTGTCTCACAGAAGGCGGCGCCATCGCCTTGCAGGCTGAAATCTGATCACAGAGGTTGTTGTCCTCTCCTTCTGCTGATCGCATACAAAATTATTTTGTTCAGGGGCAATCATTAGGGTAAACTCCTTTTTTAAATTTAGGTGATAGTTACTTAGCTTTCTTATATACAAATATTTAAGAAAACTTTTTAAAAGTGAATAGGTACTACTTTTGTTGTTTAGCCTTATGTGAATTGTTAACCTAAAAATGCTAACAAGGCTAAAGAAAGGTGTGAGCTTTTAAAAATCTGCTTTTAAACTTTGGAGAGACCCCAAATATAGAAATATTACATATTGGCACTTTCCCTTAAGTATATTGATAGTTAATCATTAGTATTCATTTTTGTAGGTATATGGCTATGTCCCACTAGTTGGCAGTTTATGTTTCTGCATGGTAAAAAGTAGATACTAAAGTAAATAGAACTCAAATATTGTTAGCAGTTGTTACTTGTTAGATAGATTACTGTCACATTTGGAGGATGTATAATACAGAGAAAATATTCTCTTAAGCTATTTAATACCAAAAAGTGCTCTACTTTTTTTTAGTTCAAAAAAGTTGAGGATGCTGAAGATATATAATAATGCTAGAAACCCTCCAAAAAGTAAATGATCACTTTTATCCTTTGCCACTTACTTTTAGTGAGTCATGAGTTTTTTTCTCATTTTCTTGTAATCTGTTGTATTTTTAAAGATGTAATTGGAGGCAAATCACACTGGCCACTTTGATCTGTGTATTAGTGTGGTCAGACGGCCCTGTCAGTAGAAGTATACCTTAGTCCCTACTGCTCTATAATGACTGAAGTATCCTTAGACCAGTGTGAAGGGAGATAAAGTACTGTACTCTGAAAACTTTTAGGATGAGCAAACTGTCCAGGAGGATTGCAGTTCTCAGTAAAAAGCATCTAGTGACACATAGTACTGCAGTGGAAACATGCTGCTGACTGCCAGGTGTTGTTTTCTGAGATCATTTTCCATTGTCTTCTTTTCCTTTCTTTTTTTTGTGAGAGAATATCTGTCTCATTATGTAGTTCAGGCTGACCTTAAACTATGAAACACAAGCTGGCCTCACATTTGCAGCCATACTCCTGCCTCCGCTTCCTGAGTTCTGAGATTACAGGCGTGTTCCACAACATTTGACCCCCACTTTCCATTATTTCAGTTTCTGTTTTTCTCTGAGATGACTTGATTTCTTGCTGATCGCACTTGCTTTATGTGTGGCCTGGTAGATTGTGTTCTCAAATCTTGTTATAGACAATTTATCAAAAATGACAAAGATAGGGCTGGGGGTTTAGCTCAGAGGCACAGGCCTGCCTGGCAAGCGCAAGGTCATGAGTTCGATTCCTGGTACCGGAAAAAACCAACTACAACAACAAAAAATGACAAAGATGTTTGTTTTAAATTCTAAATTTTCTCTTTACTTCAGTCATTGATGTCTAATTCTTATTCTCCAAAGTAGCTATCACTTGAAAAAATACACTAAATTTTTAAATGTGACAAGGATAAGGTTTTAAAATGTGACAGATTTGATAATTTGGTTATATGGAGTAGTTCTAGAATTAAACATTAAGTAGTTTTTACAAATGTTTATTAATCCTGCCCCAAGTGTAAAATGCATTTTAACCATAAAAACATACATGACCCACTTTACTTTTTATTATTTTAATGTTCTTTGACTAATTCTGTGTAGGAAAGATTTCTCTTTAACTCTCTAATTCTATATAAAAATCTATATAGAAATTTAAACCTATGTAGAAAAGATTGTTTTCATTCAAATGATTAATATGTGTCCTTTACAAAACAAAAACTCCTCACTCACCTCCATGACTTCCAGCATGGTAATCATCTGATGATCAGGTAAGAGCCAGACATCAGGAAAGCCAACAAGAAGAAAGTAACAGCGCTCACTGCCAGAGCACTGACATGCCAGTGGGCCGAGAAGGAAGAGGCCAGGTAGAAAACCTCAGCATTCTAGATCCATGTAATGGAGAGCAGCAGCCTTGTACATCCTAGTCTAAGTGTCTTCCCACTCTTACTCAGTGCCAGAGCTGGTAAACATGACTCTTGAGATCATTAAGACAGTGGTCACTAAATTCAAGTCTCATGTTTAACAGGCAGGAGACTCTCCTAAGGTAGTTTCTTACCTTCTTGTACCTTCAAACTAACCAACTGCCAGGTAAATTAATGATAGTATCATCCTTCAGAAAATTTGCATACGTAGAACAAACCTGAGTCCTAACCATTTCGTTAAAATGAATATTAATTGTCAGTAGGATAGACTTCCACAAAGTGATGCCATGTAGTACATTTTCTATAGGTTATCCTAAAGCTATGTCTTAGTCTAAGTTGCCACAAAAAAATACCATAGCCTGGGCGGCTCAAGGAACACGACCCTAGGGCTCACAGTTGGGAGGCAGCAAGTCCAACCTCAGGCCACCAGCGTGCCAGGGTTCTGGTGAAGTCTTCCCTCCTGGCTTGCTGACAGTCAGCTTCTCACAGTGTGCTCACCTGGCCTCTCTTCAGGGTACGTGCCTGAGGAAGCCAGCACTTCTGCAGCTCTTTGGTGTCTCTTCTTACAAGGCCACTAATCCCATCACAGGGGCCCTAAACTCTTGACCTTTTCTAACCCTGATTACCTCTTCCCAAAGACACCAAACACCATCACGCTGAGGGGTTAGGGCTTGAACACAAAAATTGTGGAGGTAGTAATGATAACCATTCCATCCATAATGGGGTGCTTAAAACGTTTTAGAGTTCTGAAAACCTTTCTGGGATAATAAAACTTTGAACTGGTTGGATCAAGCTCAAACAAAATTGGGCCGGAACTGGTGGCGCAGACCTGTAATCCCAGCACTCTGGAGGCTGACATAGGAGGACCTGGGCTACAAAGTGAATTCAAGGCCAGTCCGAACTGCATAGTGAAACCTTGTCTTAAAAAAAAAAAAAAAAAAAAAAAAAAAAAAATTGGGGTCCTAATAAAATTACAAAAGAAATTACAGTTGTCTTTATGCTACATTGTGCAGTTACTATTGCTCCTGAGCTCTATATGTAAGTTAGAACTGCAAGTATTTAATAACTGAATTGTTAGGGTTACTGGTTGGTCTCAAATTGTCCTCCTAACTCTTTCCTTTGATGTCTGTATTCCTTTTCTCAAAGCAGGAGCAACCATCAGGGTAACAGGTATCTGACTATTTATCATTCTTCCATGTGCTTTCCATCTGTCATAGCACATTAGATGTATGGGTGTTTTGATTCATACATCTAAAGTTTCACCCATTTTTTAAAAACACCCGTCCACATTAATAAAGTCAACTATCATACCATAAAACCTGCATTTTCTTTTTCTTAGTATTTCAGATTTTTAGGAATCATTTTAGTTGGTCTTGCTAATGCTTTACCATTTTTTGCTTCCTTTTTTTTATGAAAATTAACAAAACTAAACAGTATAACTTACAGAAGGTAAACTTTAGGTATATGAAAGCCTTATTGGCAAAACCAAATTGGTTTTTGGTTTTAACAATGGCTTAATTACATGAACACAAAATTTGTTTTGTTTGTTATTTTTGTTTTGTTTGTTTTTTTCTAAGCTTTCTTTTGGGAAGTATTTTTTTCCAGAGTTTTTGTAGCAAGAATCTTTTCAGTAAGTAAGAATTGCTGATTTAGAAAGATGAAAGTCAATGTAATAGCAAAATTATTTAAGCATCCTTCCAACACCTTTCTTGGTAAAAATACCAGCAGTTTTAATGTTGTCATCCCAAATCCTTCTTAGATTGTAAGTTAATTCTAATATAATGAATGGTGGTGTGGCTGTCATTGAAATTTCAAGTCCAATTGAAAAAAATGATCCTGCTTCTATCAAATTACTTTTAACTTATTTTAACATAAAAATTATATGTGAAAGTAAGGATATTTAAATGTATAGCATTTATGTGGCCTATAATTCTAAGCTGTGAAGAGTGTAAACTTTTCCTTTCCTATAATATCTGTGTTGTGGACTGTGTTATCTGCCATAGCAGAATTTTGTCCCAGACCCAACCAAATATTCCCATTTTGTAGTATTAATCATCAGTAATCTAGGGATTACTGGTAATGTAATTATAATTTTATAATGACTGTAATAAATTTTCATGTCGTTTATCTTCATATACATACCTGCTTACCTTTGATGCATTTGAGTAAACTTGAGAGTCCTATCACCCCTTAGCGTGGCACAAATTTATGGTCATGTTAAGTTTGGAAAAAATACTTGGTTTTTTGAAAATTAATGAAATGCCTGATGAGCTAATTTGCTCCTGGGACCAGGATCATAGTTCTTTTCCCCAGCAGTCCCATGAATAGACTCCACCCAACCAACTTTTTTGTGAACAGGCATAAAGGGATTTAGGGAAAGAGTGCAAACTTTGCCCAAGCATAAAACAGTTGTGAGCACCTCCTTCTGTTGTCAGCTTATGGCAACACTTGGGGGCACAGCTTCCTTTTGATTTTAGAGTTAATAGACCAAACAGAAATTTAACAAGATACAGAAGGTCAGGTAAGGAAAGTTAACACATGATCCACTCTTTACCCTTCCAAGGAGAACTTATATTAAAAGATAACTCTGAAAATTTACTTTTCCATGTAGGAAAGGAAAAGATACCTCTACAGCTTACAGATACAAATATACTAATAAAATTAACTTTAATCCTTAAAATTGAATGCCTATGGTAACATTAATTTTAATTGAAAATACGTCTAAAAGAACAGTGAAACCACATCATCCTCATAGATAGGTGTTGGAAGCTTACACAGACTTAGCCTAAGTCCTGACTATGGGTTTAAGTGTATGTTAAAATTTAAAAGAACTGGGCATGGACAAATTTGTTCATTCTTTACACTTCTCTTACTGTTTCAGAATTTGGGTGAATGAAGTAAGTTTTTATCAAATTTCTTTGAGATTTAAAATACATGGATTTAATAAAAGAACTTAGTTTTTAGAGTAAAATTTTAGCTGTTTGACTCTACTTCCGTCACCAGAGTAACAAGCTACACGAAGCTACTTTTTAATTTCTAAATTTGTACTTGCCCAGAAAAAGGGAGGATGATTCAGACAGGAAGAGTAGAGAATAGTAGTAAGCTGAATGTGTTCTCTTTCCTTTCCAGGTAAAAATAAATGGAGTCGCAAGTGTCAAACAAGAATTGCTATCAAAGAGTGACCCATTTGAAGACCTGTCATTTAATCTGCTTGCTGTATCAAAGGCTCAGCTATCTGTTCAGACATCACCTGTTCTAGCCCCAGACCCAAAGAGGTTGGTTCAGTTGCCTTCTGCAACACAAAGTGATGCTAATACTGTGAGTTCTGTAAGCTGCATGCCAACCATGCCTCCAGTTCCAGCCCGGAGTAAATCCCAGGAAAATATGGAAAGTTCTCCAAACCCGTTTATTACCAGCTTGACCAGCACAAATCCCTTCACTGACAGGACTGCTGTTCCTGGAAACCCGTTTAGAGCCCAGTCTCAAGAATCAGAGCCCACTTCATGGCTCTCCAAAGCAGAGCCTGTTACGAACAGTCCTTTCCCTTCCCTGATGCCTCTCGGTCAGAACACAAGCAAGCCTTTGTCTTCACGCGATTGTTTTAAGGACAGTTTCAATCTGCAGGGCCAGTCTACAGTGAAAACAAGCAATCCGAAAGGATGGGTGACCTTCGAGGAAGAAGAGGACTTTGGTGTAAAAGGGAAGTCAAAGTCAGTTTGCCCAGACTCACTGGGTAATCAGCCAAGTGCATTTGAAGATGACTGGAGCAAAAGTACACCTGTGTCTTGTGTGTTGCCGTCCCGAAGACCACCTCCCCCTCCTGTGCCCCTGCCCCCGCCCAGCACCAGCACCAGCCCTGCCACTGGCCCCTTCGGCACCTCAGCATCTAAGGCACCCCCCACGCAGGACTTCACAGAAAGATGATGCAATACTACGGAAAGGGGAGAAGGGTTGTTTGTTTGTTAGTTTTGGCAGGGTAGAGCCAAAAGAATTGGGCATTAGTTATTCATTACGTGCAATAAGTAATTGTTAAGTGCACTGATATCTTCATAAGATACCACTATTGATGTGAATAGAGTTGGAATATGTGTATATTAGAAATAAGGAAAAATCCTTCTGAATATTAACTGGAGTTTTGGTGTGTTTCTCTTCAGACAAGTAGGAGACAATAGTAGCCATAAAAAGTGCTTAAAACTACCGTAGAAAGTAGTCCTCGTTCAGAAATTCCTTGTCCGTCTCTGAAGAATCTTGGAAAGCCCACACAACTTTTAGCTGACATTGCTGCAAGCTCTTGCGCACCGTTACAGTTGGTATTTGTATTTACCAAAGAGCTGCCGAAGTTACAGTGACAGTTTTGAAAGGCATTGCTTTAACAAAAATGTTACATACGTGTGTGTGTACATATGTGTCATTATCTATGCACAGATACACATACTTGTGCATACTGACAAAACTCTTAAATTCTGAGGATGTAACTCAGACCAGACTTTTTACCTACAAGTTCTAACAAAGACCTTTCTCAATCTCATTACCAAAAAGATGGCTACCTGTGTAATTTGAAATATTTCATTAATTTTATTTCTGAAACTAATAGATCTCTCTAGAGAAGCAGAATTTTCCACTATTCTGCACCTCAGCCCTTTAAATACACACATCCTTGTTTCTTTCCACTCCAGGGCCTCCATATGCTTTCCCCTGGGAGGAGGTTCTTGCAGCTGGCAGCAGCATATTTTGTGGTCACTGTCATGTAGACGTTTACTCCAGTCCCCTTGAAAAAGTGCTGTGGCCTTATATGTAGGGAAGGCCCGTACCACCGAGCTCGCTGACAAATGTTAGAGCTGAACATACTCTCTTCCTTCTGCCCACTTAAGGACTGTGTTAGCCATTTCCTTCCCATGCTTTTCTATTTGCTGCGTTTGCTCTGGAACTTTGCCTTTAGCAGGAAAAGCAGCCGTCCCCAGAGTGCTTTGGACGAGGGACATACCCAGTCCTGTCTCTTCCCCTTAGAGGCTCCACAACACACTTCTCATGCTGCTTTAAGTTTTTAGAGGCTATACCTCAAATTAGCTGTGGATTTTGTCTCCTGCACTGCCAGTATGCAACTAATCCTGCTTTTGTTAATTTTATGGAGTACACAGAATTTTTACTGAATGTAGTATTTTGATATCATTAAGTAAACCAATCAGAAAACTCCTTGAGCAATAGTTTTGTTGTCAGTTTAAGTTAAAATCATCTTTACCCATTGACTTATGTTAACATTCCTTTTATATATATAAAGAGTTGTATACGTCCACCTAAATTGTTAGGTCCACATTTAGCCTTTAAAGATGCACATTGGGAGTTTATTAAAAAAATACAGTTTATGGCTATAAGAATATGTGAAGTGTAAAAGCACAGCAAATTGCATTGCACTTAAAACATAAAGCGAATCTATTAGGAACAAGCACTTTTCTAAATGCTCAAATGTTATCAAAATATTATATTTATAGACGTGATCCACTATGAACAGCCAGGATTTGCTATTAGAAATAACTCAAAAGTTTTATATTGTGCTTTGGGGAGGGCGGTTCTGATCATTTCAGCAGTAGTATCATTTAAACAGCAGTATTACATAGGCAGTGTGCTTCAGAATGTGAATTAACTTGTTGAAATTGTGGCTTTAACACCTCTGTGATTAGTGTGTATGGTATTTGCTCTCCATTTGCAAAATAATTCATTGTTAGATTAACTTCACTAGTGCCAATTGCAGGTCTGTGAGCAATGTTTCCTATTGAGTATAAACTACTGTCTAAACTATACATATCAGCAGCAGCTCAGCCTTTGTCAGGAAAATTATATTTGGCAAGTTGCTGAAAATGCACAAAGTTATAAAAGTTAAAGGTATGCTGCAAATAACTAGCCATTATTCTGTGTATTATTAAATATTTAGCAGTTCTGTTCAAAGCAGAACAGAAATTAGACACTAAGGATCTTTGTGAATTCTTTGTCCTCTATAGTAGATTGCTGTTTATATGTATGTAAGAGTTTTATTGCTTATGTGGCATATAATATTTATAACTATATACTTTATAGAAGTACAGTATTAAAATCAGTGGTATACAGATATTCTGTACATATCCAGTAAAACGTGCTGTCATATGAAATAAATATACCTGTCTTTACCTTGTTGATTACTTTGCGCAGAAGGGCAGAGTTTTTCTCAGCCATTTTCCTTGTGCTTACCATGTACAAGTTTAGTGGTATTTGGGGAAAATAAGTTAGGTCCATTACCAAATCAGATATTTTAACTCAACGCCTTATTTTCATCTAATCATTACTGTAAGAAGATAGATTTTCTGATATTCATAATCATCAATAAGCCCATGGGCGTACTCCATAAGAGAGCCCTTTATTAGATATCTTCTTAGCTTGAAAATACTGATGATTTTCTGACCCACTGCAGAAAAACCAACCGGGAGGCAGAGGGAAATTAGGACAGCCACTGCCAGTCAAAAAACTGAACTGGCCAAAAAGACCTAAATGAAGAGACCACAGCAAGTAGTTTCTGGAAGTATTGCCTTTCCCAATCCTTTTTGATTGGCATTCAAAACAGTAACTTTAGCTTCTCAATAGTGTGATTGTGCATTCACCTTTGATTAAGTTTCAGGTACAGAACAACAGACTTTAGGAGACGAAGATCATTGTAGAGTTGTGTAGTTGTGAGGGGGGAAGCTGTGATGCACAGAGCCTGCATGCTTTACTCAGCTTCCCAGCGCAGCACTAGTGCAGTACAGTAGCGCAAGCAGGGCAGGCGCAGCGAGAAGGATCATTCTGTCCCCCGGGGTGCCTCAGGTTGGCCTCTCCTGTCTTCAGCCTCCACCCACCATTAATCTGCTTTCTTCAACTTTGTCTCTTCAGGAATGTTATGTAAGCGGGGCTGGAGGTGCAGCTCAGTGAGAGAGTGCTTGCCTGGCATACGTGAGGCCCTTGGTTCAATCCCCAACGTTACAGCTAAGTTACAGAATAATACAGTAAGACACCATTGCTACAAAACTTAAAATAGAGTCTTTAGGGATGCATACATGTGTTAATGGGATCAGAACATGCAATGGGAATGATAAACGCCAAATTCAGAAGAGCAGTTTATTTCTGATGAAGGGGAAGAAAGGAATAGGATCAGAGGGGTTTATAGAAGATTTAATGATTTATAGTGTATTAGGATTTAAAAACAACAAATTGGGTAATACATAAAAGTTGCTCTTTTTCTCCCTGACTGCCTGACATCCAGCAGCCACCATTCTGAATTATCCAGACCTAGCCAGGTGTGGTGCTGCATGCCTAGTACTAGGGGAGGCTGAGGCAGGAGGGTTGAAAGTTAGAGTCTCACTCAGATAACACAGACTCTGTCTCAAAATTTAGAAAAAGATGGGCAGCTGAAGGTGAAGCTCAATAGTAGACTGTGGGCTTGGTGCCTAGTACTGATACAGGCAAAATAACTCCCAGCCTGTTACATGTCAGATGTGCGATGAAAGAATCCACCCACTACCATCCTGCTACAAGACCCCACTAAACCACCCCTCCTAGCATAGCTGCACCTCGGGACCCGACACTCTCAGCCCTGCTACTGACAGCAGCCACTGCTACTGATAGCAGCCACTACTTCCTGTGGTTCCCAAGCTCAACCTTGGGTAGCCATCACCACTGTGCTCTCTCAAGCCTTGTTGGCAGGGAGCCACAACCCCTCTCACTGAACCCCCACCCGCCCCCCATGAGCCTACAAAAGACCCTATAGGAGAGTGTCTTGGGTACTTTTGTCTCATTGCTGAAACAAAATACCCAAGGCCCAAAATCAAGGAAGGAAAAGTTTATTTAGCTCACAGTTTGTGGAGGTTTCAGTCCATACTCAGCTGGCACCAAGGCAGAGTGGCACATGGCAGAGGGCAACAGTTCATGGTGGCGGCAGGGAAAACAGCAAAAGCAGCAAGACCACAAAGCGGGGAGAACAAGCCTTTTTTCCTCCCTTACACTGTATGCTGGCTCTCTGCCCACACCCACACTACCTCAGTGTCCTCCTCTTGCACAGACTCAGGATGAATACAGAAAAACATCCTAGGGCGGGAAGGGCATGTCCTTTTCACCCCAGGATGTAGAACTGCTGAGTACTTAGCCAAGCCTCTAGACTCCTCAAGTTGACACAATGTATCAACCAGAACAGAGTTTCTAGTCTGGTCTCCAGTGCCAAAGCTGTCCCTGTCCCTCAGCTTTGTTCTGAAAGAAACCCTTCTAGTTGAGCTCATACCTCTGTTCTTTTTCCTTTTTCCTAACATCTCGAGTTCATGGTCTCATGACATCTACAAATGAAGTTGCAGACCAAAGGAGGAAGTTACAAGAGTTTTATTAAGGAGAAGAATAGCTCCTGGATTTCCAGAAGGGGTTCCGAGTTGGTGGCTACCAAGGTCCGTTGTCAGGGGTCATTTATACAGCAAAATCACAACATGGGTATAACATGAGTCAGACTACAATCAACCTATAGGATTATGAGCATAGTAAAACCACGTTTTGCAAGCATAATTTGTTCCAGAAAATGCTTGGAATCTAAGGCACTTGTATATCAAAGCAAATAATGGAAACTCAGGCGATTTGTTCCACAACCCAAAAATATTCATATAAAAATGATGACAATACTGTAATATAATACAAAACAAAGAAAATACAGCATATAAAGAAAAATATTCTGCATTCACCTTTGAAAACCCTCATGGCTGGTGTGAGGGAAACAAGAAGAAGGTTACTGTGTGGGATGACTTTCAGTCTCACTAAAGGAACCACTGCTAAAGATGGAATCTTTTTAGTGCAACTTTAACAAGGCACCTATCTCATGATACTTGCTTTAGTCTCCTTTTGAGGATGTCATGGAAATGTGACATTGCCTTGTCATTAAGCAGATATCCTTGCTCACATTGCTATAGCCTTATTTGGGTGGTACTTTTCTACAAAATTTTGCTCTGTTTTCCCACATTTTATACATCACCATACTTTCACTTGAAGTGAGGGATTCCTCCCTCTTTTCTCCTCCTCTGCTAACAAGATCTCCTCCATAACCTCTTGCTGTTGGGAGGCGATCGCCCACAACCCCACACAGAGACAGAGAACCACTGTCCCTGTTGTGACCATGTAATGTTTGGCATCACATACTACTAGACATCATTGCTCATTTTTCAAGTTAAATACATTAGAAATGTTTATCTTACAGGAACACTCACAGAACAAGTTACTCACAATCCAAGGTTTTACTGTACAGTCGCTTAACTAATATTGACCCACCAGGGAAATGACTCACATAGCAGGAGTACATGGAAAGAACAAAGGCATTTCTGGAAAGGGATAGATCCAGATGTTCTGGTCCCCCAGCTATTCATCCGATACCTATCTGGGCCCACTGGGCCAGCTGGTGTTATTTACAGTATAACCTCAAGGTGCTGTTTATATCTAGGAAAGCATACAGGCCTACCTATTGCATCTCCATCTTTTTTGTTGTTGTTGTTGTTTGTTTTTTGTTTTTCTGCGGTACCGGGAACCGAACTCACAACCTTGCGCTTGCCAGGCAGGCGCTTTTGCCACTGAGCTAAATCCCCAGCCCCTGCATCTCCATCTTGAGGCCTGGCTTTGTCTAGACTCACCTCCAGCCTTGGTCTTTGTGTGTCTAGTCTTCTGTGCTGACTTTCTTAAAGGCCCAGTCCCTCTCAACTGCATGTTAATTTCTACCTAACTTCACTGTCTATAACAGTACCACCAAAAAGGAATTATCCAGACCCAGAAGGTCATCACTGGTGGATTGCTTGAACAAATGGTCCTAAGATGCTCTAGAAAGACAAGTACCAAAATACTGACCGCAAACCAAACACAAGGCACAAGAACACACCAAACGTTATCTGTGCAGACTTGGAATTCAGAACCCACTTGGCTAGCAGTGTTTGCCACGTTGTAGCCCAAATTCTGGGTGTTCTGAGAGGCTTAGCCTTGTCATAGCCTAAACTCTCAAAGTGTGGATCAAACTATTCAGTTTCTATGTATTTTGCAATAGCTGAAGTCACTCACATGGGGGGAGTCTGAAGTTTGTGTAATAGTCCCGAGGGGAGAGGGGAGTTTACTCCAAATTCTCACATATGGGATTTAATAAGATATCCACTCTTTTTGTTGTTCTTTCGGTTTTTTTGTGGTTTTCTTTGTGTGTGTGTGTGTGTGTGTGTGTGTGTGTGTGTGTGTGTTTTAGACAGGATTTCACTTTGTAGTTCAGGCTGTCCTCGAACTGGTGGAGGTCCTCCTGCCTCAGCCTCCCAAGTGCTGGGATTGGTGTGGGCCCACCAGGACCAGCTCGTCCATTTATTTCTGTTTTCCTTGTCACACTTGGAGCTATGCTGGCCCGCGCTTCGATGAGAATTGTGGGAGAATACCTCGCTGAATACTTTGGGAAGGGTCGCTTTGGCAACAGCTACTTGGGCTACCCTAAATGTGCGAATTTGACTCAGCCTGCACAAATAAGTACTGGCGCTTGACCTATCCCTTGGATCCTGAAAATAGACCAGCGATGACAGCAGGAAACAGCGATCCAGCGAAGCTCGCCAGTTCCAAATTTCCCCAGACCGGAAGCAAGAAGAAGGCATTTCCGGAAGTGGAGGCCCTGAGCGGCAGAAGCCACAGCTAGACGCTGGGGTTGCTGCGAGGAGACTGCTGCTAACTTGGTTCCTTTGGTTCCCACAAGCCCATTCATTCCCGACCTAGCAACACCGGCCTCAAGTCACCGTCTCCCTGGGGAGAATCTCAGGCCTCAAGAGACTCGATTGTGCAGTCAGCGCGCGCCCCGCTGCGGCGTGTTTGCGTTGCCTAGACAACAGCCACTTCCGGGAGCGGGACTGTGCGACTCCGCTGGGTGCGGATTGCTGCTGAGGCAGCAGTTAAGTATAGGGAGTGGACGGCTGCGCCTCTGAGCGCCTCGGCTTTGCCACCCTCGGGTTCTGACCTAAGCTGGCAGCCCGTCTGACTCTATTTAATCGTTGCCCTGGCATCCACCACTTCCGGGAGCGAGTGCAGTTTCCCCCCAGCTCCGCGGGTGCCGGAGCTCCAGGGTTCCGGCCTGCGGGCGGCAGTTGGTCGGGCGCTGTGTTCGCGGCTGGAGCTGGCCGCGGCCGATTCTGCAGGCCTCGCGTCGCGACCCTTTCGGACGCCTGGACCCGGCCTCCGGAGCCGCCATGGTTCTGCTACACGTGAAGCGGGGCGACGAGAGCCAGTTCCTGCTGCAGGCGCCGGGCGGCACCGAGCTGGAGGAGCTCACGGTGCAGGTGACCCGGCTGTACAACGGGCGGCTCAAGGTGCAGCGGCTGTGCTCAGGTGCGGCGGGGCGTTCGGGGAAGCCGGGCGATCCCGGCTGGAAGTTGGGCCGGAGCGCCGGGGATCTCGGGCTAGGGCCGAGGGGCCGAGTTTGTGAAGATTTGAAAGGACTGACGGCAGCTAAAGGCGAAATGGGACCCTAGGGGGTTTTACAAACCGAACAAGTAGAGGCGGATCTGGCACCCCCAGCTCGGAGCTGGACAGTGGGGGAGGCCGAGAGTGCCCAACTGTCTGAAGCCAGGGTTTGGGGTTCTGTGAATAAGTGCGAGTAGGAGGGAGCCAACAGACTGGGCGTGTGTGGGTGGGAGTGATGCCTGGGTGGGTTTGCAAAGAGTGAGTGACCTACCCCGAGACTTGTAGGGTGAAGCAGTTTCCAGTGGTGAGCCCCTGCCTTTGGGAAGGCCTGCAAAGGTGAGAAGGCTGTGAGAACGCCTTGGCGTCCTTTTCCGTCTCCTTGGTTACACAAGCCCATTGCTCCTGTTACCGTTTGATCGCCCACCTCGGAAAACTCCCTAGAGCACCCCGGGCCAGTAGATGGACGTGCCCGGTCCATATCTACTAGGCCCAGGTGGCTGCTGAGCATTTGAAATGTGGCTAGTGCGACCCAGAAATTGAATTTCTAGTTTTATTTCATTTAAATTAATTTTTTTTTTTTTGGTCTTTTTTTGAGACAGGGTCTCGCTATGCAGTTCAGGCTGACCTTGAGCTCACTTTGTAGCTCAGGCTGGTCTCAAACTCGCAACAATCCCCCTGCCTCAGCCTCCCGAGTGCTGGGATTACAGGCGTGCGTCACCACGCCCGGCTCTTTAATTAAATTTAAAAAGTCACATGTGAATAGTAATGGCGACATTTGGCAGCACAGCTCTAGAACTTAACTTCGTTGTCCAGGTGTGGACTAGGACATTATTACTATGATGTGCTTCTGTAACTATACAGACTATATAATCACTATATAAGTAATGTATGTATATGAGTTATTAATATACAATACGTCAGATAATTAGCTTTAGTAGATTTTTTTCTAATCGTAGTGCTTTTGGCTTTTTGGAGTTTTTAATTTTTAAAATTTTATAAGTACATATTTGAAGTACCTACATCAGCATGGTAGGTACAAATAACGAATCTATTAAAGTCCATAAATATGTGGTTTTTACACCTCTTAAGGGTCATAGTCGGTCCGTGAAACATATGTGACTATTTTATAAATAATTTACATAAATCGGTGAGAAGGATTAAAGGGAACTTATCAAAAATAAGAGAGAGAAGGGCCCTCATTTTCTAGTAGCATTCACCCTGTTCAAATGCATGGCTTTATATTTTTCCCAGTCCACATACATTTACCCTCGAACCAGTCTACATTGAAACCTTGCAAAACTGCCGGCTTTGCGCTGTCCCTCCCTCTCCCTCCCTGGCTTCCTCCCTGTGAAGACACAGTGAGACCTATACGGATACAACTCTGTGGAATCAGTGGTGTGATGGAGTTAGATGCTCTTGTCTCTCTCCCAGTTCACATTTTTTAAGCAACTGGGGGCCGGGGAGCTGGACTCATTCAACCTGGTCTCCCTAAGGACACTGGCAGCTGTAGCAGAAATCAGTGGATTCTCCCTCATCTCTTGAGCCCCACCCCTAGCATTTACAGAATAGTTTGCTCAGTTCATTTCCTCCTCAACTGGTTCCGTTTTCAAATAACATTGAAGATTGAGGCTGTTCTGGAAACAGTAAACTTAAGAAATTACACAGACTCTGCCCTTAATCCTCCCCACTGATTTATAGAAATTATTTATGAAGTCACATAAATTAAGTTTATGCAGCACTCACCTGAATTCAGTGTTACATAGAGTATTAACCTTGTGCTGTGACCAAGCCTCAAATAATGGAATGGGCAGGTAAGGAAGATGGGTCTGCTGGGAACTTCCCTGCCTGCCTCAGGAAACCTGAAATCAAAAATTTCAGGAAACCTGAAATTAAATGAAATCACCTGCCTGTGCCCAGTTGGAAACATTGTATGAATGTGTATTTGGTTTTGGGGATTAATTTTGCACCTTGGGAAATCCAAGCAGCACAACATAGCACAAAGGCTTAGAAACAGGGACTTGGTCCCTGGGCTGCTTGGGACTGGGGCGAGTTCCTAGGCTCTCTGTACTTCAATTGGCTGGGGATGGGCTGGTGACGTTGTCAAGGGTCAGAGGCAGATCTGGTACATAGCTAGTGATGCATAAGTGTTCAATAAAATACGGAGTCCAATGGGCCAGGCTTCTGACCCTCAGGAGCTTGCATTCCAGTGGGTTCTAAGGTGTTGTTTGTGATACATATTATGTAACTTTCCCTTGTTTTTAAGAAATGGAAGAATTAGCAGAGCACGGCATCTTTCTCCCTCCTAATATGCAAGGACTGACTGAGGAGCAGATAGAGGAGCTGAAATTGAAAGACGAATGGGGTGAAAGATGCATGCCCAGTGGGGGCGCAGTATTTACAAAGGATGACATTGGACGAAGGAATGGGCAAGGTAATCAAGCGTTTCTCTTGCAAGCCTGCCTGAGTGTACCGATAGTATGAAAGCAGTTCTTGGGCTGGGGATTTAGCTCAGTGGCACAGCACCTGCCTGGCAAGTGCAAGGTCGTGAATTCGATTCCTGGTACTGGAAGAAAAAAAAAAAGAAAGCAGTTCTTTACGTTAAAAAATTAACCTCAGCATTTCTGTACGAACTTTCCAGAATGAATTAGGTGCATAAGGAAGCTTCGGCCTTCTTGGTCTAAGTCGTAGTGAGCATATAAGTGTATTAGATGAACCATATGAAATTACCATATCTACAGGTCAAAAATGTCTGACTGCTGGCAACTTTGTATGACTTGATCTGATAGGTTTGCCTCTCTCTGGCTGGTACAAATCAATACGTGGTACACCGCTTAACCTACACATAACTGATCACTTAACCCACACCCAAATATCTACTGTGTCCCTATATACCTGTTAGGAGTAGAAGTATTACAATAAGGACTTTACATGCTCAAAGTGTATATATTTTTAAAATATTGAGAATAATAGGGATTACTAGTATTTCCTTTGAATTTTAACCTGGAAATGGTTGATTGTCTTCCACGTCTTTTTATGCCTGAACTCATTCTCAGTCTGAAGAGATTCTCTGCTTTTGGAAGGCATTCCATCAATTTTGTTTTCAGAAGTCTCTTACAAATCAGTTAGCCATTCATTACTCATCTTTAAACTGATGTTCTTAAATTGACCATTTCTCTTCTAATATAATTTCAATGTATAATTAATACTATTGTTTATTAAGAATGTATGGTTTGAACTTGTCTTATTTTTCCTAAATTTGAGAATGTTATCTCCATTGGTTTTGGTTTTAAAATTTCTGGTTATGATATTTTTCCCTTTGTCTAGGGATCAGGAAATGAATGAGTCCTATGCCAAATGCAACCAGTTGCTTGTTTGTAAATAAAGTTTTATTGGAGTGCAGCCACCCGTTCACTGAAGTAAAGCCTGTACTGGCCTTTGTGCCACTGTAGCGAGTTGACTAGCTGCACGGTAGCCTGGGGAGCCTAAAATATTTACTCTCTGGTCTGTGCAGGAAAAGTGTGCTGACCCTGTCCATCCAGGGACACTTAACATCCTCTGCCACTTTGGGTAAAGCTCACGCTGGACCTCGCCTCTCCCGTGGGATCGTAACTGTCCATCGCCAGGTCCTAAATTCCCTGTCCTAGATTCCAGACTACACGCCCTCTGTTCACACATTCCCAGACTCAGGAAAAGGGCATCAGAATCAGAGAACTTTTTAACAAGCTGTCTTTGATTACTCCTCTCTATTTTTATAGCTCCAAATGAAAAAATGAAGCAAGTTATAAAGAAGACTATAGAAGAAGCCAAAGCAATAATATCTAAGGTCAGCTTTTTAAAATGATGCTTTTGAACGCTTGTCTTTTAAAAAATACTAAATTGTGACTTCCAGAATTAACTGTCAACCAGCCTTTCTTCTCTATTCTTTTTTTTTTCCTGCCTTCCAGAGGCAAAAGAAAAGAGCATGTTTGGGGTGGACCCTAGCTTTCCTTCTGTGACAGTTATCCAGATCACCCTACCTAGCAGACAAAAGTTTTTGTTGGCTTGTGCAAATGTAGGTTCGTATTACAGATGTCTTTACAAGGTGTGATCAAAAATATGGTGAATGCTAGTGCTGATTGCCATCCATTCTAAAGGCAGGCTCATAAAACATGGTGTGTCCTCATTTACCGTATTCACTGGATCTGGCACCGTGTAACTTCTTGCTTTTCCTGATGACGAAATTGACCACGGAAGGTAAACATTTTGAATTGATTCAAGACATTCAGATGGCCTTAGCAGCACAGCTGAAGATGTGAAAGAAGACTGCTTCAGAAAGTGCCGAGAACGACGGGATGAGTGTGTTCAAAGCGAGGGAGTGTATTCGGAGGGATTAACGGAAGTGTGTCTTTTACTGTAGTTCTTTTCTAATGTAAACATTCACTGCATTTTTTATTAAATCTGGTAAATTTTTTTTTTGTAAATTACCGTATTTATATAAAAACTATTTCACAGAAGAAGAAACATACGTGATATCATTGACGCATGGATAAGTGCATCAAGTGGAAGATAATTTAAGGGTATTTAAAGAACTGATATTTTTACCTGTTAGATTTATTTATGGATGGATGCTGTTTGTTGCTACCACCCTCCTTTGCAAGTCTTCTGGGTGTAACTGCTGTTTCTTTATTCCTCCTGATTTATTTGGCAAACCTACTACTTCTGAACTTGAAGTTCTTAATGTGTGTATAGCACCCGGAAAGGCCCCTGAAGTCTCGCGGGAAGGAATTCAGTGCCGGCCAACACTTGCCAAATGTACTTGGCCAAAGAACCTTAGTATTAATGGTAACTGCCAGCCTCTTCCTGTCAGCACGTCTCAGAACACAGGCTAGGCATGGTTCTGCCCGCTTTGCTCCACACACGTTTTCTGTAGAGATCCGTCCTACTCCTTTCTTTCCTTTGCCTGCGTGTTCATCAGGGTACTTTACCCTTGACCCTCTTCCTCCCTTAGCAATTTCTTTTCTTTTCCAACTGCTGGTTCCACCCCTCTGCAGGTAACTCTCAGACTTCTGTCCTGTCCCCCTGATGTCTTCCCTAACTCGCAACCCAAATGTCCACCTAGCTCTGAGATGCTCCTCTTCTACCGGGATGTCAACCAGCACGTGAAACACAGGTTCTCTAGGCCTGAAACCCTCCTTTCCCTAACTTCTGTCGTGTCTGTGTTTTGTACATGTGAATAATTGTGTCCTACAAGCTCACCTGTTTCTGTTATCAGAACCACCAGGGACTTAGTCATAGAGAGCGTAATCCTGTCGCCTTCAGGACTTCCCTGTCACCTATGTCGGGGCTGGGGATTTAGCTCAGCGGCACAGTGCCTGCCTGGGAAGCGTGAGGTCGTGAGTTCGATTCCCGGTACCGGGGGAAGAAACAAAACAAAACAAAACAAAAAAACAAACAAAGCCTGTCACCTGTCTTAAGTCCAGTTCTGTACAGTCTGCTCCCAAGAGGCCTTCTAAGCCCACCTCCTTGTTTCGTTTCCACAGCCATTTTATTTAAAGTCCCTGAGAGCCTTTTGCATTCCAACAGCAGCAATTGTCCTGTATTTCTCTTCGGTTCTGACACTAAGGACCCAGTTAGCAAAAACCCCACAAGTTAAGGGCAAAGCTATTCACTTCTAACACTTAGCTACCTGGAGTTACTATCAGAACCCACAGTCAAAGGGCAGAGTCACCAACGAGACCAGTCTGTGCCCTGCTCTCCCAGTGCCCTGCTCTCCAAGCTAGTAATTCATTAGAATGACTAATAGAGGTCGCTGAAGGAGCTGTACTCATGCTTGTGGGTTTATTATAAAGGACGCAGTCTAGAAACAGCCAGATGGGAGAGATGTGTGGGGTAAGGGCGGAAGAAAAAGGGGATGCAGAGCTGTGGTGTTGGAATCCACATGAGTTACCCAGCCAGGAAGCTCTGCTGAGCCTTGAGGCCGAGAATTTTTACCAGCATTTTGTTACATAGGTCTCATTAAGTTATGGGCCACATGATTGAGCTTAATCTCTCACTGCCCTCCCTTCCCTGGAGGTTGAAGGCGAGAATGAGGCTCACAGTTCCCACGCTCTGACCACGTGCCTGGTTTTCCTGGCACAGCCAGCCTTTTCCTTGAAACTGTCTGCCACAGTCCCCATTTTTTTGGTTGTTGCTGTGACAAGACACCGGCAGCTGAATACTTTATTTGAAAAGAGAGATTTATTTAACTCCCGGATTTGGAGGCGGAAAGTCCAAGATCAAGTGGTTCCGGGGCTGGGGATTTAGCTCAGTGGCACAGCACCTGCTTGGCAAGCGCCAGGTCCTGAGTTCAATTCCTGGTACCAGAAAAAAAAAACCAGAAACCAAGATCAAGTGGTTCCTTCTGTGTGGCCTGTGGTGAGAACCTCGGGGGATATCACCGCGCGGCAGAAAAGGCTGCAGAGCTGTGGTGGGGGAGCTCACTCTGTACACCCCCACTCACAAGAGCTATCCGTGTCCCACAAGGACTTCCAAGGCTGGCACCTGGTGACGTAATCACCTCCTTCTAGCCCACTCTGGCAGATTCTGCCATTGCTTAACATTGCCACACCACGGCCTGGGCTTCCAGTCCTCACCATGGATTGTATTAGCACAAACTCAGGTGGGGTGAAAAGGGGCTTGTTATAAATAACAAAAGATTCTCCTCTCAGTGATTCCAAGCGTTTTTGAAGCTCTGTGCCAGACGCCAGGGAAAAGACCAGATACATTCTTTATTAAATCACACTTTGCTCTGAAATCTTCAGAGCCTAACTGCTGTCCCCCACCTAGGTCTGCTCTACACCCACTGCAAGATGACTCTTGCAGCATCACTGCTCCCCAGAAAAGCCACTTGCTGTCTGTCACCTAACAGAGTAAACGCAAACTCAGCCTGGCTTCTACTCACCATTGGAAACAAACGCCATCTGCCCCCGGGGCTGCCTCCTGCCTGCCCTCAGAGGAGCAGGGACAGCTGGTGCCTGCCCCTCGCGCCTCTGCTTGCCTTGAAGCACACTGCTCCCATCTCCAGCTTTTCAGTTCCTTGCGTGGAAGGCTCGCCGAGCTGGCCTCTCCCTCTGCAGCATTTCCTTGTCCTCCCCAGCCTGTGCTGCTAGATTTGCATCTTTGTTCCCCGCGCAGTACTCCTCTCTTATGCTGCTCAGAGTCTGCTTGATGATCTAGACCACGGGGTACTTGGCTCAGTCCTTGAAGTAGATGGTAGTCACTTCAGGGCCAAGAACTATGTGATTCCGTTTTGTTACTCTGACGTACACGAACTTGGTCAGCACTCGTTCAGAGGATTGCCCACTTTGTAGATAATGATGTCTCATCCACTTTCAGAAACAAGTGGAAGCCGGTGTCTGTGTTACCATGGAGATGGTGAAAGATGCCTTGGACCAGCTTCGAGGGGCAGTGATGATTGTTTATCCCATGGGGTTGCCACCATATGATCCCATCCGGATGGAATTTGAAGATAAAGAAGATCTGTCAGGAACTCAGGTATGTGGGTGGGTGAGTTCCCCAAAGCCCTTCAGGTTGGATTCCTCTTAAGGAAGGCTTGTGTCACACAGCTTTCCTTGCCATGCCATGCTTCAGAGCAGAGCTCTGAATTCAGGAGTTCCAGAAAGGGTGACACACATGGCTGGGGTGTTTGGCCTACATGTAGAGAGGAAGGAGAAAGTGTGTGAGGCTGCCCATGTATGAAACACGTTTTTATTTTCATTGGTTGCTAGGAAACCAGGAACCTGATGTGTGCTTATTTCTACCCAAATGTATTGGCCCCTGTCTTAACCTCTTTCCTGTTGCTAAAATGCAATACCTGACACCTACAACTTAGAGGAGAGGTTTATTTTAATGCATGGTTTCAGTCCATAATTGTCTGGTGCCAAGGCACAAACAGGATGGCCACAGGGCATGGCAAATGAAAAGGCTCAGCCCATGGCAGCCAGGAAGCAGAGAGAGAAATGAGGAGTCGGGGACAGGAATCCACCCTTCCACGCTCCCTCAGCCATTTGATCCACCTCCACCCAGGCCCCCACCTCTTAACAGCAAGTCAGGGGTAGCACCTCCCTATCTGGTCACCTTCCAAACAAATGGAACATCTGGAGGATATTTTAGATTTAAACCATAACGTTCTGCCCCAGCCCCCAAAGACTCATGTCTAGTTCAATATTCAAGAGTCATCAAAGTCTTAGCAATCCCAACTGTGTTGAAAAGTCCAAGTCCAAAGTCTCCTCTGAGACTCAAGGCAAACTCTTAGCTATGAGCCAGTCAGAAAGTTAAGTTTTTCCAACATACAATGCCACAGGATAAACATGGCTATTCTCAAAGAGAGGAATAGAATGGAAAGGAATGGGACCAAGGAAGACTGAAACTTAGCAAGGTAAACAGTAAATCCTGTCACTCCGTGTGCAGCACCTGAGGTGGGTTATGGTAAGATGTGAGCTCCAGAGAGCTTACACATTTCTGCCCCTATAGCATTGCCAGTTGCAGCCCTCTTGGCCTCTCTTTTATGGTGGCTCTGCTCACTGCCTGTAGCTTTCCTCAAATGGTCCACGTTCCTGCCATTCTCCAACTTCTGGGGTCTCCACTGCACTTTCTTCTTCATTCATGGCTTCATGCACTGCCCTCTTAGGCACACTGCCTGGCCTCCCAAGCTTTCTGAAATTGGGGTGGAAGCTTCCATGACCCTGTAACTTGTATTCTGCATGCCTGTAAAACCAGTACCACATGGATGACACCAGTGTTTGCCACCTCCTCAGGCAGTAGCCAGGCTTCCTTGCATCACAGCTGTAGGGCCCTCTGAGTTTCTGGATTGTTGAGTACACTAAAGTGAATCATAGGAAACCAACTCCCTAGGCAGCCTTTCTCCAAAAACTTCCCAGCTCTCTTCAAATGAAAGCCTACAGTTTTGGACCTTTGAGCCTCTGAAGGGTGGAGTCCTGCTGAGTCCTGAAATGTCTGTAAGCTACCATTCCTGTTGTCCTGATATAAAGTATTTAACATCTTGTAGTTCTTATCCTCTCAGCAACTCTGCTCTCCTGTATCCCAACTTTGTAGGCACTTCTTTTCTGATGAAACTGGAAACTTTCACACAGCTTCTTGCTCTTAATTTTCACTGTAGATCTAGCTAAAAGTAGTCATCAGAACCTGTACAATAATCTGAACATTGGGCTCCTTTGAAATTTCTTCCACCAGATTAATTTATCCACCACCCTTAATTTCAGTCTCCTGCAGAGTCTCAGGTTGTGAGTAAAATGAAAACAAATTTTCTGCCATGGTGAAACACATAGCCTGTAGTCCAACTGTCAAGGGGGTCCTTGTTCCTAAAGGTCCTGAGCCTGATTATTGTCTGCTTTTCTGTGAGCATTCTTTTTTTTCCAAGCTCAGATCAAATTCTCCCATCAACCTCAGCTCACAGCATCCTAGGACTTTGCTAGCTGACATCTCCAAACCTTTCCAAACTGCCCCACAAACCAGTTCCAAAGGCTCTGAGCCTCATGGTCAGGTATAGTCATAGCAAAGATTCTCAGTACCGAAATCTGTCCTAGTCACTTTTCCATTGCTGGGACACAATACTCAGCGTCCACAAGGAGAGGTTTGTTTTGGCTTACAGTTTTTGTCCATAGTCAGCTGGCTCCAAGGCAGAGGATGGCAGAGAGGCATAGGGGAAGAAAAGGTGCTCAACCCATGGCAGCCAGGAAACGGAAAAAAGAGAGAAACCAGGGACAAGAATCCACCCTACCCGTTCACACTGCCTGCAGCACACCTCCTAACAACAAGCTGTGTGTCCCCTGGTCCAGTCACCTTCCACACTCATAAGATGTCTGGGGGACATTTTAGATCTAAACTGTAACAGCCCCTCTGCATGCGATTTTGTGTTCCAGCCTCACCCCTTGCTTCGTGCTGTGCCTTTACTCTTGGTTTCCGTTTTCCTTTGGTTATTTTCATTGATTGCTGTGCTTCTGGGCAGCACGTGTTTCTCTCAGCCACCTTGGCAAACAGCCCCAGGACACCTTCATTCCCACACCCAGCAGGATTCCAGTGCTCTCAGTGGCGGTCGCCTCATTCCATCCAAGGGACCTTACATTATGGATAATGGTGCAGAGGAGATAGGACGCTAAGCCTGTGCTCCAAAGTTAACCGAGTCTGTGCTCCAGGATGAGTTGAAACGAACTGGAACAGCATGGAAAACAGCAAGGACTTTGAGTGGGTGGGGAGTAGAGGGAGGCATGGAAGGGAGAGCAGGCCGCCAGAAACCTGTCCCCTGCTGGGAAGGCCACCGGCCATGCTCTGTGACCACCATTCTTACTATCCCTGAAGTCGGTTCTTATGCTTGGCCCCAGGCAGGACTCAGCGTCATTAAAGAATCAGAGGCACAGCTGTGGTGGGCAGCCAAGGAGCTGAGAAGAACAAAGAAGCTTTCAGACTATGTGGGGAAAAATGAAAAAACGAAAATTATCGTCAAGATTCAGCAAGTATGCATTCTTCCTTAACACGTTAGTGCTTTTGGCTTGGTTGCTTGCTTTTTGCAGTACTGGGGTTAGAATTCAGGTCTTGAGTGTGCTGGGCCCAATGATCTAGCACTGAGCTGCACCCTCAGCCCCACACGTCTATATTTTTATTTTATCTTCAACCCAGTGGAAATTTACAGTGACTCTGGATGCTGTAAACTACTCATGCCAATACTTTAATGCTGTAGGCTCAGGCTAAAAGTAAAACTGTCCTCTCTTTATGCACCAACAAAAACTGGAAGAAAATGTGGCTCAATAAGCAATATCTGGAATTTGTTTTAATTCATGGGGGAGGCAGAACTTGTCATGTTAATTTTAATCTCAGAAGCAGCTATGAGTAAATAAAAATATTTTTTTAAGTGAGCCATGCAGCCCAGAGCACAGCTTCAAGCTTTTTCACACTGGCAGTGCTCTGCCAATGAAGAGGAAGGGCTAGAGGACTTGCGAGGACGTTACACAGGGCTTCCTACGTGGAAGGCTGCCCTGGTGTTATGAGTGCTCCTTAGTCATTACTGGGTAATTCGGGGGAACAAGGCGCACCGCCCCGCCCTGTCTCAGAACCTATGGCTGTGAGTGTCCTCCTGTCCCACTAGCCCTGCAGTGGCTGCCTTGGGAATGTCCATGACAGAGGTGGCACTTTGCAACCTCTGGTCTTCATCCACTTGATGTCCAGAGAAAGGACACTGCTCAGTTCCAAGGGTCCCATTGGTATGCACTTCGGATCATCGGGCCATTGGATAAGGACGACCCAGCTGTCTTGAGCAGCCCCAGAGGCAGTCGTAAAGCCTCTGCTGTAACTTCTTGGCTTTGCCTCAGTCCGTAATTTCCTCTTGCCCTCATCTTTTCAGCGGGGACAGGGAGCACCGGCCCGGGAACCTATCATCAGCAGCGAGGACCAGAAGCAGCTGATGCTGTATTTTCACAGGAGACAGGAGGAGCTCAAGGTAGCTCTCGGGCGGTGGTAGGTTTCCTAGAGCTGGCGCCCAGGGAGTGCACCCTAAGTCTCACCCCAGGGCTGGGAGCGCAGGCGCGGGGATCTGCAGGATGTCAGGGGAGGGCTTTCCGGAGCTCCCCGGCTGTCCCCAGCGAGGACTGGAATTGCGCTGCTCTGGGGGCGCAGGCAGGGGCAGTTGGCCACGAAGTTTTTCCTTCAGTGTCTGTGTGCATAATGCCATCCTAAAGTGCTTCCTGAGGAAAACATTTCTTTCCAGAAATTGGAAGAAAATGACGATGACTCCTGTCTAAATTCTCCGTGGGCCGACAACACTGCTTTGAAGCGGCATTTTCACGGGGTAAAAGACATAAAGTGGAGACCAAGATGAACCGGCTGACGAAGATTTCAAAACTCCTAGGACACTTTCCTTATACGCAACATAGTTAAAATAATAAAAAGGACACCCAGCACCCTCTATAAGAGGTGTGGAAATTTCTATTTTCCTAGTTTTTTTTTTGGTTTGATTTTTTAAAATAATAGTTATTCACTGTTTTAGAATTTAATAATATCCTCCAAAGAAAATGCCCAAACTATTTTTGTTTTAGGATGGCTGTGTAGTGTCTCAAGGTTTTCTTTGATAAAACATTAAAGATTAATTCCAACCATTTTTTTCTTCCCGATTTCTTTTTTCCTGTTTCACGGCGACTGCTGTGTGGAGGGCTGGGAGCGCTTTTCCTCCACCGCAATCCGGGTCTGATGTGGAACTTGACCATCGGCGGCCACTAGAGGCCGCCAGCTACGCGCTTGTCCTGTGCGTTCCTCCCTTTAGCGGAACTAAATGAAGCTAAATGCTCGATCTTGTTTGGGAGTTATGGGGACCCGCGATTCAGAGTCCCACCGCAGCCAGGCAGCTCCCAGCCTCCAAGATGAAGTTCACCTCCTGGTTGGTGCTTCTCTGGTCTTGCCTGTCGGAGGAAAGGCCACGTGGGATGAAAGTTGTTAACCAGGTTGGTCTGACTCCTTGGGAACAGATTATGCAGTAATTTCTCAACTAGACCCCGGTAAAGGGCAGCTCTCAGTGCCCTGAGTTTTGCATCCCTGGGGCCTGACCATCCGTAGACGGGGTTCGCCCGACACCTTTTTGTCCTCTGCAGATCATACTGCAACACGTCCCCACAAACCATTCAGCCGGCCTGTGGGCCCTGACTCCTGAGCAGGTGAACTCCCGGCAGGCTGCCCGCCAAAGCTGGCAGTGGCCTGGAACTTCACCGTGCTTGTTTTTTGGCCTCTGGGATGTACGGTTCTGCTGGTTCCCGGAAGCAGCGTGCTCCAGAGGGAAAGTGAAGCGCCTGGGTATTTCCCTGCGCCCGCCTTCCTGCGCCATTCCCCCCGCCCGGCCCAAGCTTCCCACCTCCGCCACTGGAGCAAGTGCAGGCGGCCTGAGGCCAGCGTCCCAGGTCTGGTCCTGCTGTGCAGGTGCTGGGGTCCAGTCGCTTGCCCCCTCCGCTGGTCTCCATGGGTCAGAGGGAGTAAAATAACACAACAGCAAGACTTGCTGAGACTCGGCTCCCCACGGAGGCTGTAGCAGCATGAGCCCGAACCCCAGCACAGATGCTTCTCCCAGGTCCTTTGGCCACTTGCTTACCCTTCCTTCCCCCTCCCCTTCTTACCCTGCTCCCAGTTATGGGGTTTCTTGGAGCAGCTGTCCCAGAGCCGGTTCCCACAGTGTTTTCTAAGTGGGTTCTAGCTGGGTATGCATAGTTATGTCTCATTTTTTGGATTTGTGGTCAAATTTTATAAAGCAAATTTGCACGTATTTTCTCTTTTACTTGGGTTGTAATTTTTAATGCCACCCTGAGAAGGTTTTGGACTCGGCTGACACAACGCTAACTGTACAAACCTCTGGTTTTATTTGAGGTATATTCTAATTTTGTCAGTGTATAGTTTATGTGCCTAAGAAGTGCGAAGAAAGATCATCAACACACACGACCACTGTGTCTTCTGTGGATCCGCCCTTTCGTGTCATTAGGAATTCACAGTGACTCAGTTCAAGTGGCCACGACAGTGACCCTGCTGCTTTGTATAATTAATGGAACTTAATAACTGGAGCCGCTGACTTCTCAGCAAAGAACTTTCTACAGTTCTGGCATTACATTCCACTGCTTTGCTGAACACACAATCCCCTGGCCCCTGGCCCTGCCTTTACCTGAGCACCAAGTATTCAGGGGCAGGTGCTCTTTGCTTACCATGCTGCATGTGAATTCACTTTGCAGCCACCCTCTGACTCTCCAAGGTTGCATGGCTAAGGATGGGACAGCTGGGGACCAGGCCCAGGACTGCCGAGAAGTCAGCTTATGAGCAGAAGTCACAGACTGTCACTTAGCTCACGTATGTGGTCTTGGTGGTATTTTTTCATTGTTTTTAATCTCGTGTGACTAGGTCAGTCACAAGAGGAAGTGCGGCGGCTGTTACTATGTGTGGTGCCCCTGTGGGTCTGAGATTGGGTCCTTTGACCTGACTTTCCTTCGCACTGGGTTATTTCGCAGAGCCTAAGAATGCAAGTCATAAAATTTGACACCGCCTAAAGTGCTTTCAATGAACACTGACAGCGCTGAGTAGTATTTCTGTCACATGATTACTTGGCAACTCTGCTGCAAAGAATGTGCCATCAACCTTGAAATTAAGCGCCACATCTTGCGAGCTCAGAAACCTGGGAGTGGGGAGTCCCCAGCCCCGCAGAATTCCTGTCCAAGGCCTCAGCAACTGCCCTTTCAGAGAGGCGATGAGAGAGGTCGGCTGGCGCCCTTGTCACAAGACCCTGGGAAATGCCACTCCACAGTGCTGCGAGCTCAAGGAGAGATGCGGCCGACTCCCTGGAAAAGTTCAGTGGCAGATGCGACCTGGTAGTGGTGATTCAGAAGCACTCTACCTACGTTTTTGCATTTTTACCTCCTCAGAGCCAAATGAGGAAGAAACTACTATTGTTATTACTTCACAAGTGAGGGAGACAAAGTCTGGAAAGGTTAAACTGCCCATGCTGAAGCGTCCCGTCCTGTCTGTGTTCTGCTCACACCTAGCGCAGGCTCTGACCCACAGCCGATGAGTGGTGCGGAGGGCTCAGTCGCGGACTAGCTGAGCTCCAACCTAGCGTGGGCAGAGGCAGCCCTTGGTGATGTTAACGTCTGGGCCAGCAGTGCCACGACTGTGGGTTCTAAGGGCCCACTTTGCTTGGTGTCGTGGTCCATTGTGACTGATGTAACAGCATGCCGCGGACAGGCCTTCTGCACACGGGCATTTATTTCTCTGTTTTAGTGGCTGGGAGTCCCAGATCAAGGTGCCAGCCAGGCAGACTTGGTGTCTGGTGGGGGGAAGCTTCCTGCTTCACAGACAGCTATCTTTTTCCCTGTCCTCACGCGGCAGAAGGGATAAGGGAGCTTTCTCAGGCCTCTTTTGTGAGGGCGCTAATCTCTTTCATGAAAGCGCTACTCTCCTGACCAACTCACCTTCCAGTGCCTCACGTCCTGATCCCTCACCTTGGAGGTTAGATTTCAACGTGAGAATGGAGGGGCTCAAACACTCAGACCACAGCAGCCTCCCCACCACTGCAAGGAGGAAAACACGCCGTCTCCCCACCTCCACCCCCACTGCCTTTCAAAATCAGCGCTTGATTCAGCCCTAAACACCCAAAAACATCAAAGAATGTGTCCGGGATTAGGTCCTCCCGCTTCTGGCCATCGCAGGCAGGTCATGGGATTCCAGGTCACTCCAGCGCGCCTCGGAGGTCGGCGGATGGGCAGATTCCCAGACGAAGCCCTGCCCGCCACCACTCCTTAGATGGAAGTCTATGATAGTTGGAAGCAGGAGAGCAACAGCTGTGGCTGTCTTGCTAGTCCAGTAATGAGACAGCATCCCTATGACATGCAGCGTGCAGAGCACCAGGGAGGCCATTCGAAGTTTTACAACCAAATATTTGATCTTATAGCTGGCTGTGCCCAGGGGCAGCGTTGCTTGGCAGTGATATAGCCATAGTTTTGTCCCTGCATTTCTCTGTCTCTGTCTATCTGTCTACGTCTCTGTCTGTCTGTCTCTGTCTCCATCTCTCTCTCTCTCTCTCTCTCTCATGTGGGGTGTGTGTGTGTATGTGTGTGTGTGTGAGACAGAGAGAGAGAGAGAGAGATACTGGAGCTTGAACCCAGGGCTTTCACCCTGAGCTACTCCCCTACCCTTTTATTTTTTATTGTGAGACAGGGTCTCACTAAGTGGCCCATCAAACTTTCCCTTCTCCTTCCCCAGCCTCCCAGAGTGCTGGGATTGCAGGCATGCACCACCACAATCAGTTTAACCCTCTCTGTACCTGCAACACCAGCTCACGTGACGGAAACATATTCTAGATTTCTCCTTGGCTCCCTGAGACAGGCCAGTGTCTAGTGGGTGCAGGTTTGAGGATCGTGACAGTGGCACTTGGTCCTCCATTTCAACACCGTAAAGCAAGGTGAGGGCCTGCATGAGGGACATGGGAGATGTAACTCTGGGGTCTAAATGTCTGTGGGCTCCTCACCTCCCTCCCTGCATGCCGACTCCCCTTGTCCCCTGTTCAAAACAAAGCAGGCAGATACACTATCAGCATTCTTGAGAGTTCTCATTTCTTGTTATCTTATTTGCATGTTGCTGGAATGGATCTTATAGGTGCTGAGCAAAATATAAAATGTACTCCAACCTTGCTCCCAGCATCCTCTGTCATAGCTTCATCCCTTTGGATTGCATAGGTCAAAGGAAGGGAGATTCAAAAATAAGGGCAAAATCAGAGGCTCCAAACTGAGTTTGACTACCCTCCTCACAAAATGAACTCCACTCACTAGAACAGATGTTCAGCATTTTTTGAAACTGTTTCCAGCCCCCAGCACTCTTCCCATTTTTTTTTTTTTTTAAAAAAAACAAGGTCTCACTATGTAGTTCAGGCTGGCCTTGAACTCACTGTGTAGCCCAGGCTGGCCTCAAATTCATAGTGATCTTCCTGCTTCAGCCTCCTGCGTGCTGGGATTACAGGGGTGTGCTACCATACCTGGTCACGCTTGACATTTCTACAGGTAGTTTGCACTCAACTGCAGACAGAGTTTTCTGGGTGTTGGAGCTCTTGATTTTTCCTTAGGAAGTAAATATGATTTCAGCAACTGGATAGAATTCTAATAGATGTGTTAAAGGAACTCACAGGCTGGCACACACATCTAGAATATAAATTTAATTTGACTCAAACTGTTCAACGATATTGGAAAATTCTCCATGCACTGAGATGGAGGAAAAGAAAGGAAATTTTACCTGAATTAAAGTTTTTTTAATGGGAAAGAGACAGAATTTCAGAGAATGTGAACGTCTCATTCTCTCATTCCTTTAAAAATAAACTTAGGGACTGAGTGTGCCTCTGTCAAATTTTTCTGTTGAAGTCCTAACCTTCACTCAGGATGCGACCAAATTTGGCACAGGTTCTTTGAAGAAGTAATTAAGGTTCAATGAGGTCATGGGGTGGGGGTGGTAATCCAGTTTGACCAGTGTCCTTGTAAGAGGAAGAATCAGCTGGCTGTGGTGGCGCAAGCCCGTAACCCCAGCACTCTGGGAGGCTGAGGCAGAAGGATCACAAGTTTGAGGCCAGTTTGGGCAATTAGTGAGA